TATATATATATATATATATAATTCAATGCAATACCTACATATATGCGTTTATTTAACCGCAAGAGTTTTCCAACTATTATGTGGTATACAAGTAAAATAATCAACATATGGCTTAATTACATGGCTTATCTACTAGTAGATATTTAGCGATATATATTTTAAAATGCTTCTATTTTAAAAGAAGATACGATTCGTTAAAAATTTCTAAAACAAACGATGAAGATTTATTTTGTGTTTGGACGTAAGTTCAAATAAAATCTACTTCGCTTTTTGAATTTTTTAAATGTTTAGTTATAAATATTAAAAGGTTGTAACATAATGACACGATTTTGTTACAAATTTATGAAGCAAAGCTGCTTGAAATTTATTTAAAAAATTTCCATTTCAATGACATAAAAGTCTTCATTATTTCGAAAAAAGATCTATCGAACAACTTGACCTAATTAGCCAACCAGATGACACAACGCGACCGATAGAACTGATCAAATCGATACGGAGCCAGGCCACGGGCGGTTTTTTGACCTCGAAATCATCGCTAAAATTAACCAAGTCTTACAAAACTCAATGAATAGTCTGTGCCGATGAGACGACGGGGTTCCTACTATCTACATGCTTATACAGGCCACGTGCGAATAATATATATGCGATATGCATATAACAAGGTGTTGTATAGTGACTCGCTGACATTATTTTCTCATTATGCACACGAGACAGACAAAAAAACTCGTTTTTCAACAAAGTAGGAAGCTATAAATTTGTATCTTGCATTATATTACATCGTAGAAATTAAAAATTTATGAAATAAATAATATTAATACACAAAAAAAAAGAAACTGTTAATAAAATTTCTCAACGATTATGGCTTTATTACTAAATTATTTAATGCGCGGTATTACACGATTGCGAAAAGTATCACCACTTTAAAATTATTAATTCGTAAGATTACTTTTATTGATCCTAATTCTAGAGTCGTTGTATAAAATGAAAAAGGCGACAGAGCGTCTTCTGTTCTCTAAAATGTGTTGCAACGTGTTCACCGTACGCGTGCGCGCCGTGACGCGAATTCTCATGAAATATATTTTCTACAATACAGATATTAATTAAAAAATGTTTTAAACATTTCGCATGCTTCAAATGCATTCGCGATTTCTAATAATATTTTGATAAATTGAATTATACACGAAACTACAGAATTAAATTTCGCGTAATTTAAGATTTACGATATTTATTATAAATCTCAGAGACTCAGTAAATCTGAGAGACTCGGTACTATAATTATTTAAACATTTGCATAAATCGATTTAGCAGCACGTCACGCGCATTATTAGAACAAACGTGCAGCCGACACACGTTGCATAATCACGCATAGAAATGATTTTCCTCATGTTCTGATAAAAACTCAATTAATCGTAAAAACGACTTGGACTTGAGCTCTCTACGAAATTCTACGATGCGGTTAGTTAAAGGGAAAAAAAGTCTGACGTGTTCTATCATGAATATGTCCTATCACTGTGTATAAATCAGTTTCGCACAGTCATGCGACATGTAACACACGTGTACGGGCAAGGATTCAGAGCAAATACACAGCCAACGCGCATTGCATAATCACGCATAGAAATGATTTTTTTTCGCATTCTGATAAAAACTCAATTAATGAGTGGTATGCAATGAAGAAGACATCATCGGCTCGACATTCTTTTATGTAATTTTTATTCCTAGCACGAGAACTTAATTACAATAAGCAAGTTTAAGTTTTTTTTTTTTTCAATTATTTCAATTACTTCGTTAATATCTGTACTAGTTTTTTCTTATTAATATCTGCGCTCTTCTCTGTTGTGAGTGCATCGATAATTTAACGTGAAAAAATAATAAATTATAATTTATAGAAAAAATATGGTGCTTGACATGCATACTTTTGATAATGAGTGATCGACTTGCATCAACAAAGTTGACGTCATTTCGTTCAAACAATCATTATGTAAGAACTTTAATTAAGCGTTAATTCTGAAAGGCGAGTACACAGGTGTATCTTTGTAGACAGGTTTAATGCAAATAGCATGAGATTGCTCCTACGTAATCTCTAAAACGAGTCAGGTGTTAGCAAATATATAACAGTATAGAATTTTTAAATACAAATATCTTGTCGTAAATTGCCTATTAACGGAGCACTAATTTCCCACAATGCACAAAAAAATATATTGATATTATAAATATCATAAAATATATTACTGGTGCATGTAAAATAAATTATAGCAAATTGAGATAAAATCCAATATTGCATTTTAATTCTTAGTACAATTTTATTTAACGTTTGTTGACATTGTCGGATGCACTGATTGGCTCCTAGTGCTTATACGATTTTCCGCACGACAAATTTGGTCGTAACATATGTAATACTGCACGTTCATGTTTGTCGTACGAAGTCGTATCAGTTCCGACTTTATTTCGACAAAAGTCCAACTGAAGCTCCCCGCCTTGCTGTTATCGACAGCCAATGGACAGCACGTCCAACAACGTTCGACAAACTAAAATTGTATACTTATAAATATTACAATATTTCAAAACGAACGGAACGTAAGGAATTTCTTGTGAAATAATCAATAAGCAAGGATATCGATTGAGATATATTTACCAGAAAATAAGAACCTAATCATCTTGCCATCATAAATAAGTCTGAGCTGTTCTTGGCAAAAACAAGTCGATCTCGGGAAGTTCCCGGATTAGTTCGACGTGGCCGTACTTCCTCGCGGTTTCGCGCGACCGAATGCACCGCTGGAACTTCGTGCAGACGCGTGGCATCGATTCCCGCGAATCGATCCACTCAAATGTTCCAAGGCGCAAGAACCTTGCACGCGATCCTTATGTAATTCTCTACAGCCCCGAACTTGCAACCTTGATCTTAACTTTCGGAATCTTCAATCGATCTTAGAATAATTAAAAGATTTGAGAAAACGCTATATAACTTGAGCTCCGGTTTTTTAGAACAACAGATGTATGAGAATCCGATAATTAGCATAAATTTTCTAAGACCATTATAATATAATCAATAATATATTTAATCAGGTCCCTTCCGGTTGCATTTATAAATTAAAATCAAGCATACGCTCTCATGTACGATTATTGTATATATGTATATATTTTTTATTGCTGTATATATTAAATTTCAACACATATATATTGCTGTTGGATTTCGATTCTTTTTATAAAACACAACCACGAATCTATTCATAATAACCATTTCAATAACACACTTCTACAAGGTCATATCATCCACACATACACACACACACACACACACATGCATAGTGTCATGTACAGTATGTTTTATCGTTCTGCAGTTGTACATCTTCAAATGTAATCAGAGACGTAAAATATGATACAGGATGATAGAACTAAAGTTACTTTACAATGAATTACATTCTGAAGATGTACAACATCGAAAAAACCTAGCAGTTATATGACACATCATACACGCACACATTGAATCGCTCCTCATTCTCACAAAAACGAGGCCTGCGATCCCTACCTACAATGAAGATCCTATTCGTAATACACAATGGGAAACACTCACACAGGCATGCGCATCCTGCACACTTATCAGTTCACATTCATTGCTCAAACCCATTTTACTTTTCCAAAACCACCATTTTGCAATAAGCGAGAAATCTCGGCCGTTCGATCGTCTGTTCATGGACAAATTTGGAAGCCTATCGGTCGCTCATGCTCGCGTATGAGAGGGTTTCCACCACGAGCCGGTCGATAAAACGCCGCAGCCAACCGCCCGCGACAATAAAATCCGTCATCGTTGGCGTTTTCGCTTACGGAGACAAAATCTTAATATTACGAATTTCGGACACGCTCAATTTTCATCTTCGTTATTCAAATTGCGAATCGCGAATCGAACATTTCGATTGATAATTTGAAAAATAAATGATGCGAATCTTGTTACTTCGTAAGAGAAAAATAGAGACGACTCACCTGAAACTCGAGGCAGCGTTTCGGGGTGAAGCGGAAGAGCGCCATGCTGTCTTGAGTGCGTTAATCCTGCGCGGGGGTTTCGTCCCTCAAACTGACAGACTCACGATTGTCTGACTAGTCAACCAACACTACACCTGCGGCGTTCCAACCTCGACTGAACTCGACTAACTTCGGCCGCGCTACTTTCATTACTACACCGTCTGCACCTTAGCGCGCGCATGCGCTGGTTGCGCGCACTTTCGTGGCGCCTACTAGTGTCCAGTCACGGTATTATTTTTACAGAGACGTATTATGAACATATGACACCCCAAAATTTTATATCTAATGTAGGCCTTTTTAATTATTGATTAATTAAGTTTATCTGCAACAATTTTGTAAAAAATATTAAAATTATTAGTATACTATAAAATTAAAATATCGATTTAACAAACTATAGTACATAAATAATTAAGTAAAACACAGACATGTTGCTTTTGTTTTGTACAAAATTGATTTGGATAATCATCTTTTGCATTTAATTTAGAATAATGCTGAAATATAAATCAAATATCATTATATTTATTACAGATCCTCAGTTTTAAGAAATTCCATACGCTTGCATATTTCTGCCACCAACGGCAATCTAGAAATATATAATACATCTACATATCTCTTACTTTTATATAAATTTAATATTACTTGTATATGATTATAATATTTTACCTATTTAACGTAAATAGATGAAAACCACATGTAGTCCCACTTCTAATTATGTCTGTTATTATCTGCATTGTTAAATCAATTGCGAATTTTTTCACTGCTTGATTATCATCCTTTATTTGTGTCAAATCATCTTTTATTTTGATCGGAATCTCAAGCTTACAAATGTGAACCAATTTCTCGTAACTCTTAAAGCTTGTTGGTATAAAAATTCCGGAAATGATTGGAATCCGAATTCCCATCTTTCGACAATCTCTGACGAAGTCTATAAAGACTTGAGATTCAAAACATATTTGTGTTATAATAAAATCTGCACCTGCTTCTACCTACAAATTTATAATTAGAATGTGTGCTCGAGAACGAAATTTATTATTAACTATGCCTGCAAAATATAGGTACTTTTGTTTGTAGATAATACAAATCGAGTTCCTTTGAAACCGATTTTGGATGCATTTGAGGATAACCCGCTACACATATGCAAAATATAGCGCCAAATTGCTCTCTAATAAAAGTGACTAAATCCGCCGCATATTTGAAATCACCATCTTCGGATAACGAATCTGCAACTCAGCCAGAAACATTTTTTTTTCAACAGAACACTCGAGAAATCGATCAAACAGATAAAATCAAGCTTTAAAGATACACTTTATCACAAATTGCGATTATTTAATGTACTAAGATATAAAAGATATAAATGTTTCAATAAATACAAAACGTATATTATAACGCATTTCAAAAAATAAAGATATTTTCAAATTCAAAATATATTTTATATTTTAGATTCCTTCAACGAAACCTGACAAAATTAACAATAAAAAAATTACCTCCTTGTAGTGCAAATATATTAACTATTCCTGAAGCAAGGGCTTTCTTTAAAATATAGATAACTTCTTCACGCTTTAAACCTTTAACTGCTAGATGCAAAAGAGTATTAGGTGGTAATAAATTCTCTGCCAGATCCAAAGGCAAATAACTATTATTACTGGAAGCTGCTTTGTTGTGCCACGTTAAGGCATAAAAAAGAGGTGAAAATTTATCCATGTCTCTGAGAAGTCTAAATATCATATATTTTTAAAGATGTATTGTGTGTGTGTGTGTGTGTGTGTGTGTGTGTGTGTGTGTGTGTGTGTGTGTGTGTGTGTGTGTGTGTGTGTGTGTGTGTGTGTGTGTGTGTGTGTGTGTGTGTGTGTGTGTGTGTGTGTGTGTGTGTGTTGTCTTATAGTTATTTTTTATTGAGAAATAAAACTTATTTCATATCTAAAAAATCCAATAATCTCAATAAAGTATCAAACAATAAAAAATTTATATTGAGATTCTTATATTAAAAAAAGGTTTACTTCTTGTATATTACAGTAATTAATTTAATTAAGAGTTACTCTGATTATCACGTTATTTGTAAAAATTGAAAAAATTGGAAAAAAGCTCAATTTCTCTTATTACAAACCTTTGGTAAAATAAACTAGGCATCTTCACAGAAACAATTTCAAAGCTATAGAATATCTCGTTTTTGCTCATTTTATCTTTTAACAATTGTCGTAAGTCCACGATTTCGCAAGAATGATTCTTATTGTTAGTATCAAGACTGTACATGGAAGGATCATCTTGATTATCATCTCTATCAGTTTCACTTCTCTCGTACGTGTCCTCGAAAATGAAATTTCTCATTATAGGTTAGTGACAATCATAAATGTTTATTCTTTCATTCCTCAATCCATACTAATAGGTCGTTATCAAATTATGTAATATATGGCGTGTAGATATCTTGTACAGTGACGTATCTATGGTGTAGAACTGCAATCAATGACTTGTACATTATACCTATAGAAAAAAATGTCTATTAAAATGTTCGAATCAGCATCCAATTGATCATTATGCATTTTATTAATAATAAATTATAACGTAATATAAATAAAATATGTAGCATATACTTAAAATCATAAGTTTATTTTTTTGAAAATGATTTAAGTTCAGTTTTTAAATATTTTGAATTTCAATAATCTATAAGTAAATATTTTGAATTATATTTCAATAATTTTTAAATATTTTAAATTTCAATAAACTAAATATAAATACTATTACAGAATATATTTATTATATAATAATGTATATTCTTTAAACTTCAGAAAAAAAATTCAGAAAAAATGTTTAAGGACATATTCTTATGCCACTCAAATAATTATTCTGTTATCCAGCATTTTATTTTTGCAGTATTATATTGTCACATTTTTTAAATACATATTTTCCAAATGCAATATTGTTTCCAAATTATACAACAAAAATAAATTGTAATTACCAACACTCATGAGTTTTCTTTCTTCAAATATAATTTTCTGCAAACTTCCATAATGGGTATATCAGACACAGCTGGTATTCCACCTGGAATAGTTTCAGTTTTTTGTAGTGCGTATTTATCGGTGATAGTACGAATATCATCAATATCTGGAGTTAACAGCATGTTGATAGCTGGATAAATCAGGAATGCAAATGTAGCTAAAGCAGTCAACGCCCAAATGGGAATTGCTACTGCCCAATACTTTGAAGGCCAGTATGTCAAACCTAGATAATCGTGCAGCACTTCATCTGGCACTATTGCCCATATTACATACAATAGAAAAAGTATATTTGAGCCTATGTACATGGCATATCCATACACGGCTCTGGGTCCGTAAGGAGCAGGAGTATGCTCCATGATGTGTGTATATTTTACATGTATATTTGGCAAAATATAATTAATTAAAAAAGCATTTATAATAATTAAATGAGGATGCAGGTGGACCAAATCTTTGAATAGTTTCTATGACTAGTGACAGATTTTCAAAGAAAGATGTAAGTGCTACACGTACTTTCCTTATTTCTGTTCCACTGAATGACCTGCAAAAGAAATGATAAATGTTAGTAAAAGCAATATATACAAAAATGTCATTATTACACTTACACTTCTAATATATTTTTGTTTAATGTAATCTTTTTTGTAGCTCCACTTCTAGGTTCCTTGTCAACTCGAAGTACTTGATATACAACTTCCGCTTCCCTAACGCTTGGAAAAGGCACAGAGATATCTCTGTATAATTAATGTTAAGGTTTATAATCAAAATAAACAATCAAAAACAAAATAAACGATAGAAAATTTTATCATTGTATAAAGATTATTTGAAGAATAAGGATACACTTTAAGGTTATTCATGGCATTCTATGATGATATTAACCGTCAAAGTTGAAAATTTACACATTCAATCTGTAGGTTATGTACATGAACACAACAACGTAAATATACTATGATAATTGATATTAAACCCAAAAATAATAGAACTCACTCGGTACATCTATAAATAATAAGAAATTTAAGCAATTACAGAAAAATAAAATTTATTTAATATATTAAAATTTATTAAAAAAAATTTGTTAAGAAATTAACCTAAAACTGACTACAAGATTACTACATTAACTCGTGTAACATGATCAATATATTTACCTAATAAATAATAAAAGAATTCAAAAAACTATGACGTGAAATTGACGCGTTTAGAAAAGTTGCAGTTAGAATACAGTATCGATATTACAATCGACTTTATATATTCGTGAGTGCGCGTGTAGGCGTTGCTGACGTCGCAGTTGTCATTTTGTAGTGGTGTAGTAAACATTCCATTTTGAAATTAAATAAAAAAGAGAAAAATGTACAGAATGTATTTATCGAATTTTATCCATCTCCAAAATTTCGTATGACTAAGTGAGTAAAATGTGAAAGCTTACTGTTTTGTCTTCCCACGAAGCTTTCCTTTCATCTTTGTTCTAGGTTATGACTCACAGCTGCGTTTATCGTGTCTCTTCATCTGGCTCCAATTACCTTTTTGTAATTTGTCAACGTATGAACGAATAGTTTTGTGTGAAGCATTGTAGATGCCAGATCGACAGAGTACTCTACATAGTTGCAAATAATTTATCAAGGAAGATTTTTTTAGATACATCTATTCGTTTAGTTGATTACTGTAATTGAGATCTTAATTATTTATTTAACTTTATCTGTATATTCTATTGGAGGTGCAAGTCATAAGTCAAATACTTTGCAGACCGAATCTTGCTTGCACAAAGTATATTTATGCACTCATTGTAACCAAAGAGTACAATACAGAGTACAGTGCTTTGTTATTTACATCAGAGATTTAACACAGTTAAACATGTTTAACATGTAACGTTAACATATGGCGCATTGTTGAATATTATTGAATATTCAGAGTATTGAAAAAAAAACAACATTAGATATGAATGGACAAACAAAAGATTTGCCATGGGGTCTCCAGGGTTTGAGATGCATGTGCAATGGTTGCTGCGAAGATCGTCGTGTCAATTGGATGGCATTGCATCAGGGTGGAATCTTAGTACTTACTTATCTAGGATATACCTGTTATCACTTGACTCGAAAGCCAATATCCGTAGTGAAAAATGTTCTCCACGTCAATTGCAGCAACTTGGTGCCACCTCCAAATATTTTAGTAAATGACAGCAACCGGGATACTTGGTGCGATTGGGCACCATTTGGTAAGAAAACAGTAGACACAACATTACAAAAAAATAAATATATCTTAATAATTACTAATAATATTAATAATTTCATTCTTAATAATTATAATAATTCAGAATTTATCAATATATATATATATATCTTTTTATACTGCTATTTATATTGAAATATATAAATAATTGATATATTGTACAGATGAATTAGATGCTGGAGCATTACTCGGTATGCTGGACTCGGCATTTCTCTTTGCATACGCGCTGGCTATGTTTCTCAGGTAAATACTTTGAAATGAGCTCATCATTTGCCACAATATAGGAATATTTCAGCAAAAAAATTTCTTTGTTCATTTAGCGGCTTTATAGCAGAGAGAGTAAACCTGCGCTACTTTCTTTCACTCGGTATGCTTGCATCAGGCATATCGTGCTATTTATTTGGAATCGCTAGACCGTATAACATTCATAATATATGGTACTTCGTTTTCGTGCAGGTAAATATTGATATGCGTATAAAAAAAAAACTGATGCATATTTCTTCACGTTTTTTTCTTGTATATAGATAATGGGCGGAATCTTCCAAACTTCCGGTTGGCCAGGTGTAGTTACAGTTGTGGGAAATTGGTTCGGAAGGGGCAAACGCGGCTTGATTTTCGGAATCTGGAATTCTCACACATCTTTAGGAAATATATTAGGCAGCCTAATTGCGGCCGCGTACGTCGAGTCCGATTGGGGCTTGAGCTTTATGGTACCCGGAGCAATAATGGGATTGATAGGATTTATTATCTTCTTGTTCCTTGTACCGAATCCTATCGACATAGGATACAGTCCACCAAGTTCTCTCGGATATCGGAAGATTGATGCGACGAATAGTTCAGATGATGACGTGGCTGATGTAGATTACGATTCTCGTAGTATTGGCGAAGATGTAAGTTATTCATAGTTATATTATCTATACTTCTCTGTTCAGGAAATACAAGCACATATCATGGTTACCTAATTTTGTTTGGTAATGTGTAATTATAGTATAACATTGTTTATTAGTTAACACGCATAGCACGACATTATGCATTACATTTATAAGCATGTTTTCTATTTTAAATGTTCCTCTAAAATTGTACATATCCCTTTATTTTAATGTCACTAGATTTGTACGTTTGGTAACGCAAGCATCAGGATAAATCGTCTAATTATTTTTAGTAGCATTATAGTTTGCACTTCCTGTAATAAATAATCATCTGTGCTGTATCTAGCGTGTCATCTATCGCTGTGTCTACCGTGAACAACTTACTGCTGACGTAAGTGCATGCCATTCTATTCAGTTAACACTTGCAAGTAATACTGCACTCTCTTGCAGACACATTTTACGTTGACATTAACATAAAATAACACATTTTTTTTTTAAATGAAAGACTGCAAGGGTAATGCGTATATTATTTCACGTATATTAATTTTTGAAATTGTGTCTCTCTTATATGTTTTATTAATTTTTTAATTGTATAAAAATATGCATTAAACAGTGGTGCGTAGCATAAAATTTATCATATAACTTGTATCCTTTAAAATATGTATAAATTGTTAAAGACACGATGCATATAATTTGTACATTTAAAAGGAATTGGCCAATGAGCGGTCTGAGACCAGTCCAATGTTGTCAGGACATCGGCGCATCCACAACGTACATCAAAATAATGCAATCGGTTTCATAGGTGCTCTGAAAATACCGGGTGTCATCGAGTATTCTTTATCACTGTTCTTCGCGAAACTTGTTAGCTATACATTCCTCTACTGGTTACCATTGTACATTAAAGCCTCAAGTTGGTATTTGCACAAATATTCATTTCTTCATTGGCAAATATGTAATTTTGTCTTAATCTTATGAAATTTTTTTTGCAGCTACATATAGTGCGACTATAAGCGCACAACTATCGACTCTGTTCGATGTCGGTGGCATAATAGGTGCCATAGCAGCTGGTGTCCTCTCCGATTACAGTGGCATGAGCGCGTTGACGTGTGTCGTAATGTTTGGACTTGCATTTCCCGCGGTAAATACTTCACTTCTTTATGGAAATTGCGTGAAATTATAGCACAAGTATCTTGAAAAACTTTCATAAAAAAACAAAATTCAAAGAATTTTTATCGCATTTAGATTTTTAACAATTGCGAAATAAATTAATAAAATAATTATTCATGAAAACACAGAATTAATAGCTACTCACATAATTCACACAAATCTTAGTGTTTCATTGGACGCTTCGTGATGCTGATTTCACGCAACAATATAACTTGTAGTACGAATACAAGTGTAGAATTGATTTTTTAACATGCGCTATATTTTTTTTTGCAGTTATTCGTATATGATTATGTTGGTAACGTCAGTCTGGGCGTCAACATAGTATTGTTACTGATAGCGGGTTTACTGGTGAATGGTCCTTATGCTTTAATAACAACTGCTGTGTCAGCCGAATTGGGGACTCATCCTAGCTTAGGAGACAATTCAAAAGCCTTAGCTACAGTGACCGCTATAATCGATGGAACCGGCAGTATCGGTGCTGCAGTTGGTCCACTGTTAGCAGGTCTAGTATATGCATGGGCCGGATGGCACAATGTGTTTTACATGCTTATGTGTGCGGACTTATTCGCCCTATTGGTGAGTCTATTTAATCCTTATGCTTGCATGAAAACAATCATTTTATAGATTATATATATATATAAACTGTTTTTTTTTATCGTTGCAGCTTCTGTCCAGATTAGTTTACAAAGACTTAAGATCGTACGTGCAAAGACGAAGAGTTATACAAATTTAAACTCTGAAATAATGTTATTGTTAGATATGGAAATATCCGTATGAATTTTAAGCTTAAATGTTTGGATCTGCGTATTTATAATCTCGATCGTATTTCCTTAAAAGTGCACAAAAAGTTGCACAGCATTTCCGATCGAATTTAAAAGTGGTATATAATGATATACAAAACATTTAAAGAGTATGGAAATAAATAGTATATTTTTTACAGTATTTTATCATAATTGTTATACATATATTTAAATGATAGCTTTAAACAGAGAAAAACTGATAGCATTGATTCAGATACTTTTTGAGATCAATATATTACAATTATTACGTGTACTGTAAAAAATGTTATTTCTTTTTATTTTAAGCTGAATATGAAATTGCCAATTTTTATAAGACAATTATAATTATATCACAACCCAAATATATAAAATAATTTAATATACACTTTTTGTAATAACTTAATACATATCAAGGGGACATTAAAATATTAATATTAAAATTATCAAGGAATACCAGTGGGTATTATGTAACTGATAGTATCTGCAAAATCACCCCACGCAACTCTTTGCGTTTGATAGGTAATTATCCAAGCCAGCATAACAACTGCCCAAATTATTGCTCCCCAAATTGAGAAACGAACATCTGAAAGATATACGAATTTACAAAAAACTTGAAACTCACCTGAAATTAAAGTAATAATAATTTAATACTAATTAACACTAACATTTCTGAATTTCTTGCTGTTCCTCATAAGGCGGAACAAGAACAGCTTCCTCAAAGAACCAATATCCATTTACAAACCACATGAATGGCAGCAACGCAAAACCAGCTGCAACAAAAAAAATATCAATGAGTCGTGCAAACAATGGATTTATTTCTTTAGTTGTACGTGCTATGTTACTCATTACACATTTAAAATAAAGCATATTCAGAATTTGAAAAGACAAAAAAAATAGAAATAAAAAATATTGTAAGTATATGTAAAAAATGCAGTAAAAAAAAAAACAAATTTAACGACATAAAAGCTAAATATTAATGTCACTAAATCACACATTGTTCATACAATTTCACAAATATATATCAAACTTATATTAATTCCAAACTTCACTAAATTTCAAAGTAAATAAATATATTGAACGTTATAATATTATCATGTTACAATATTATAATATAATACTGAAGATCCGATACATACCACGAAAATACCATCTGCAAAGATATAATTTTTGCTCGCCCGACAATCTTGACAGATCCATTGTGGTGATGGCTATTGAGTGTCTTCTAACCTAAGTTCCTGCAAGTCGCGTTCTTCGACGGCTCAGTGGCACTTTATTTTCCTCTCTCCTCCGATAAATTAGATCCAGATAACTCTTAACACATTAACATTGAGCAATGAATCGTTGATCATGCTCTTAAACAGCGCTTACAAAAACTAAACTCAATGTAAAAGAAAAAAGTGAGGAATGATAATTCCACCTTTCTGCATTGTGTCGTGCTCCCAAGATGGCGCCGCAGTCCGCCCAGTCGGCGCTAGGGGGTGTCACGTGGCCAGGGTCACGTGGGGCCACGGGACGCCTTGCGAGCCTCCGCGGAATTCCGCGAGTCGCCCGATTGCCAGGCAAAGAGCAGCCATTTTGGTACGTTAACATGGCGTCGCCGCCGCAGATTAATATGGCGTCCTCGGACATTATAACCGAAGTGGAGATACAACCGGACATTCAGGAGGTCGAAATAGAGACGATACCGGTGGAGATACCGTGCGAGACCGTGGAGACAACGATCGAGGGCGAGGACGCGCAGCCTATGATAGCGCTGCAGCCACTGCCGGAGCCGGGCCGCGAGGAAATCATACTACAGACACAGGAAGAGATCGTAGGTGCGGATCCGTTGAACGTGTACGATCAAATCCCAGTGCCGGAGGCCGACATTTATGTCGAGTCCAGTCCCGGACCGTCGCGTAAGGCCACCAAGAAGGCACGCAAGAGCGGCGGCACACGATTCCGTGCGTCTGACCACATCTTCACCGAGATGGCCCCCGAGACCAAGGCGAGAAAGTGGGAGCAGAAGCAGGTGCAGATTAAGACGCTCGAGGGCGAGTTCTCGGTAACCATGTGGGCGTCCGGAACGGACGACGGTGAGTACGAACGGCGTGTTGCGTTCGAGATCCTGTCATTTTAGTCGGCCCTGTTTCCTTTCATTATACCTCCTGTACGGGCATCTCTCCGCACGTTCCTTCCTTCGTCGTGTATCCACGCACACGGGCGGGTACGCACTTCCGGTGCGACGTTCAGATCGATACTACGTCGTTCTTCGCGCGCGCGATTGTTCCGCGGAAAATTGTCCGTCGAGCCGTGAATCGTTCGCGTGCCTACCGGCTTGACAGGCCGTGTTGTTTGTTTTGATCGTGTGAACGCCATTATGCTCGCCACGGGGGCAGCCATATTTTGAAAATGGCCTCTTTTACGCGGCGATTTGGCCGCCTCTCGGGCAGAGCAATGGCGGTACACGCGCGATGGACGAGTGTGCGATGCTGCCGCCGTCCTCGGACGTCGGACACAATGCTCGTGTCCGACGTCTCGTCGACGGACGTCGTCGTCGGAAATGCATCGCCATATATATTTCTCCGTTTTTAAGAGAAAGCTTCGTTGGAAAAAATGCCATGAATTTCGACAGTTCGAGTTGCACGAATACAAAAGATATCCAGCCAAAGCACAGAAGCAACGCTTCGACTTCTGACGTCATGAGAAGATCCGTGCTGCCTCGCGAGCGATGTATACCGGGTGTCCTAAATTCAAGCACACGTAGATGATGACACAACTTGAATGATTCATTTCATTAATATTTAATGAGTCTACTTCCTGTTTTCGTCATTGTAATTTTTCGTTTATTTTTAGATGAAATTCTGAAATAAATTTTGATATTTATCAAATAACTTGGTAGGAAAAGATTCTGGGATCGCGATAATGTAACAGGTATCCTGTTTAGCTTGATATACATTATCTTACCTCATCTCACCTCGTCTTTTTTCTCCTTCTTTTGCTTTTTATCTCCTTTTCATCTTACCTCGACTCATCTTGTATCGTCTTTATACTTGGAAGAATACTAGAATAAGAATGCATTTTTTAAAACTTGTGCAATTTAACATAAAAACATTTAAATATATATATTCTATAATTTTCATTTTAATAATGTTTCGATCTTTGATAAAAATAACGAAATAATTAAAATACTGGAAAATGCACGAATAATTGTAATTTTACCAGAAATCCAGCTTATTGCAAATTTAGTCTTGATAAAAAATAGTATATTATATGCACAAATAGATTCTAAATTTTGCATATAATTTTTCTTCGACGTTGCTGTGAAATTTATACCGCTTCTCGTAGCCGAACAATTTGTGTAATTATCGAAACATTAAATCGATAGTCGCATGGACAATCTGTCAAAAAATTGAAAGATTACCACAGCTTTCGTTTCGGACAGTTTTCTGTTTGTTGCTGTTAAAGGTAGCGTCCTATTAGCGCCTGACCTGGCTGTGGATGTTCCAGATGAGGGCTCGAATCCCGAGCCTGATCCGGATTATACGGAGTACATGGGGGGCAAGACCAGCGCCAAATTTAATTCGGGAAGCTCGGTGTCAGACGGGATGCCAGGCTTGGATCTCTCGGATCCGAAACAGCTGGCAGAGTTCGCGCGACCCGGCCACAAGTTGAAGGTGCGCAAACCGCCCGTGTTAGATGGTGCGGAGCGGACGATCGCCTGTCCACACAAAGGATGTACGAAGATGTTTCGAGACAACAGCGCAATGCGCAAGCATCTGCATACGCACGGACCCCGAGTACACGTCTGCGCGGAGTGCGGCAAGGCTTTTGTTGAAAGCTCGAAACTGAAGCGGCACCAGCTTGTACACACAGGAGAGAAACCGTTCCAGTGTACGTTTGAGGGATGCGGCAAGAGGTTCAGTTTGGACTTCAATCTACGCACTCACGTAAGAATCCACACCGGTGATCGGCCATATGTCTGCCCGTTCGACGGATGTAGCAAAAAGTTCGCACAATCGACGAACCTCAAGTCGCACATATTGACTCACGCAAAAGCCAAGTAAGTTTCTGTTCCGTCGTTGCATGAAATTTGACATGAATGAGACTTGTAAGAACATTTAAGACTTCAAATCATTCTAATCGAAAAGAAATCACAGCAATTACAGCAAAGAATTTAAATAATTATCTCGCATGTAATTTCTCACTTCTCTGTAATATATAAAAGAATTTTTAAGTAATTTAAAAGAACACAATAGTAGAATGAAAAAAGTTAGGAATCTTGTTATATGATGGAATCTCACCTTCTCGTATAATTCCAGGTCGCGGAATGCAATGAGACAAGTACAACAAATTCAACTTCAACAGCCTCAGTTTGTCCAGGTTGAAGTTGCAGATGTGGACAATCAACAGTTCATTGTCTACGCTGATTAGCCCCCCTACATTGATCTCGTGCATTCTTCGCTGCTGAACATTATTACTGAAGTATCGTAATCATTAATTATTAATCTAAACAGTGTAAATATTTTCACGGCGCGTACAAGCGATGTCATTACAGGTGACACAGGCGGTTAATAGCTGTCTTTTAAGAGGATTAATGCAAGTGTTGTTTAAGCGAATAATACCTCTGTGCTTAGATGCGAATAATTTGATAAATATCTGGAGCACTATATTACCGCAAAATGAGAGGGCAAATAAAGTTAAGTTACACTACTTAAAAAGGAAAAAAAGAAAAAAAAAGTAAAAATATTATGTACCTTTCTAAGCTAGACTGTGTCGCGCACTGCTCAATCTCTTGTTCTTTACACAAGCGAAATCGAGTGCGCTGGCATAACACACATACACATATACACACACACTCGACTGTATATATATATATAAATATATATAAGTACAATTAAAATATTGTATACAGTATATTTTGGAGAAATTCAGAGAATGAGAATAAACCACAAAGATGCATCTTTTTCCGTCGGACTCAATTGTTCCATTTTAGTGATACTTGCGACTTTTACACTGTATAATATTAAAACTTGTTGATAATTATCAAAAATGAAGAGAGAGAAAATGCGTGTGTAACGTGTATTACAACAAGATCCGTAAATATCACGCTATCTTTATTGAATAATAAGTATTCTTTAATATTTTTGTGATCCAACAGAAAAGATGTAACGTGATAAAAAAAGAAATGACTCGAGAAAAGAGAAATATGAGCAGTAATGTGAAGTATACTGCATCCCGTGATATTTGCGAAACATTGTGATGTATGCATGCGCATCGATGAATTTAACGATTTCAATCACTTCAACGATACTTGAAATTTCAAGTAACAAGCAATATAGATAATGAGTAGCTTTAATATCGATTAGGATAGCGATTAATGCGTGCATCTCTCATTATATCATTGATCATAATTATTCGCATATCATAATTTTATATGTATGTAGCACGCGCATACTTAGGATCCCATGTGAACTAATTCACATTTCGTTAATTAGATCAACTTTGGACAATTTATTTAAATCTTGTATAAAGTATATATTCTTTCATAAAAAAGGAGAAAAATTTTATTTTGCAGTTATACATGTGATTCTTTTAACTGTACTTGTCTATTAATAATATTCTCTTGTACTAATGCAGTGTTTCTTTGTAAAAGAAAATTGATTTTCTAAATTATTTAGAGTTTTTATATAAACGTTGAAAATATGATGCTTTGATAGCCCTTTTTCGTTAATAAACCTTTATCTGTATTTATTTGATCCTTTTGGCATTTTTATCGTTATCGTCAGGCTTTGTCGTTCACATATATACAATTTGAGTTGCCTTAATATATATATACTCTATATATACTATATAGATATATACTATATCTTGTTATATCATGTGGCCTATATATTTAGTTCATAAACATTCATAAAAAAACTAAAGTAAATCTAATTTTTATAAGTGTAATTTAAACTTAGATAAAAAATTTGTATAATTTAACACGACACTATTACTGCCTACTGTTCAGAAGAAGATAATCCAGTAATGATGTATGCAATTAAGTTTTTTATCGGAGATTATTCAACATAGTTTTCAGAATGCATATGTCAATTTCTCGTTAGATCTATAAAAATATATTTGTGCGTTGTTTGTCGCGATATGTTTAAATTTGATAGTTTATGTGAATTTATATCTTTTTACACTTATATCTTGTTTCTATCATTATCGCACAAAAAAGTCTTAATCTTATACTTATCTCGGAGCTTGATAAATTATTAACAAAAAACTCAACTTTCCATGGTATTAAAATTACTTCTTTCTTTATATGCAATACATTTTACTAAATTTTCTGGTTTTTTATTAACATTTACAAGTATCCAGTAATATCTAATACTACAAACGCATATTTCTCTCATGTGAAAAGTAATTGTAATTAATAGCCAATATTGAAGAATATTAATTCCAGCATTTGTTACGTGTATAAATATATTCAATAATATATATTCAATAATATATATTAATAAGACAAATGTTGTGCAGCATATAAGCAGACGACCAGTCTCTTCGTTAAACCAGAATTTCAGAATGTTCAGACACATTTGCACTCTAAAATTAATATCTTCCAGAACGGCCATCTCTACCTTTGTCATCTCTCTTTCGGCGATCCTTAGACCTCGATCGTCTGTCGCGCGATCGCGATCTGCGCTTGCGGTCTCCTCTGCCACGTGATCGAGAGCGCGATCTAGATCGTCCTCCTCTGCCGCTCTTCTTGCGGCTGTACAAATAGCGACGTAGTTCACGTGAGATCGGTTTCAAATGCATAAAATTGCAAAATCCAGATCGCGTGCATTCTCTGAAAAAGAAGAAAAAGAAACATAATGTACAGTTTTAATCTTTATTGTAAAAATTTATATTTATAAATAATCTATATTTTTATACCCCATTTCATATTGGCGACAGCAAGCTTCTCGAAAGTCCGTTACTGGCGAAAGTTCGGCATACACAGGTCTACCACCAAACCAACGGTTGTTCAAATCATTTACAGCTCTTTCCGCATCTTCCTCCCTTCGAAACTTTATATAAACATTGCCCACTAAATGATCACCGAGATTGTCGCATACATTCATCTCTTCAATCTCTCCATATTTATCTTCACATTCTACAAAGACATCTTCAAAGAAATTATCATAATGTTCCTGCATTTCTTCATCTGATACGTTTGCGACCACTGAAAGAAAAGCAAATAATTTAACAATTAGTAAATAAATTATGATTGACTCTTAAAACTTTAAACTCTCAATAGCCATTCTTATATTGATTAAAGTATATAGAATTATGGTCAACTTACAATGAGAGCCATCCGCACTCTTGGCAGAATTCTGAGGATTCACATACAAATTTTGAAGCAGACATGTCTGTAAAATATTAATTTATTTATTAAAAAATACTGGATATTTAAAGAATATTAATCGCTGTTAAATTCAATTTTATTGTTTCCTTATCTCTTCATAATAAATCTAATTAAGAAAGAAGTGAGGTTAGAATAAAATCATGTTATGTTGAATGATTTACATACCTGACTAAACGTGGGTTTATTGTGAATACGCGAACACCGATCACCGTGGCGGCATGCACCGATTTTGAAGTAAAAGGAACAATTTACCCTAAAAAAAAAGAATAGGTTAGTAAAGCTTCCTTTCGTTTTAAACTAAACTTCTAATTTAGCGAAACAATTTCCTTACTTGTCTTTCTCGGTTCCGAAAATAGATGCTAAATACTCCGCCATGACTTACACCAATGTGCTGAATTTTTAATTGATAAGATAATTTACTCCAAAATAACAATAATTGTCGGAACTCACGCACAACTATACGCAGTAAGTGCCATGGACGCCAGATTTGAGACGCAAGTAGTAAGCAGCATGAGGGAGGGAATATTGCACACATGCGCAAGCCACATACATGCGAGCTCCGTGCTTCGAACACTAGAAAAGAACAGTATTATTTCTGTCTCCTTTCTTATCGAATCCATATATTATCCAAATTATAATTTTTGGATAAAAATTATTTAGACATTTCCTCTCTTATGCTGGTTGCTGCTTGCTGCTTGCGTCACTGATAAGTGCAAAAATGATGACGCGAAAAGAGACAAAGAGAGCATCTGGTTAGCTGTCTTTTTTAGTTATATAAAAGAAAGACAACCACAGTACTATTGAAATAAGTATACAAATAAACATAGAATAAGTGAAATAAGTATACAAATAAACATAAGAATACAAATAAACATATCACAAATGTTATCAAAGAAAAAAGTGGTTGTTTTACATTCTTCTATAATTTTATTATAAACAAACTTTGTGCATTACAAATTCGATTTTCATCATGATACCTATAGAATAACATGTATATATGTGAAAGGTAGCTTTTCCTCTTTTACCTTTCTTTTTAAATATAAATTTAAATAATTTGTTTACACTTAAATTAAAACTAGAATTTCATAAACAACTCTCTTCGTCATAATTATCTTTTTATTCTTTACTTTTAATATTGCAAAAGAAAAGGTAAAAATCTTAAAGTAACTTTCAGGTCATTGGTGTCAACCTACTTATCTGTAAACGTCATATAAATATACACAATAAGTTGAGTATTTATGAAAGAAATTATAAAATAATCAAATTTAAATTACCGCAATTTTTCGTTTTTTTTCTTTTTTTTTTTTTAAAGGATCTAATCAATGGATATGAGTCCTCTTTTTTTTATGAAGTCTATACGCGAGGGACGATACAGGCAAAAACACCTGTATCTATTTTTACACGACAATTACATGATACGAATGATATTTTGTAATATATACAATACCCCATATAATACAATAATTATCAGCTAATGAGTATTAGGTCAACAATAATGCCATAAAGATTGATAGTAATATACATTACAGTTCCACCATTTAGAGTATTCCATTTATCATATGCGTATGTACTACGAAGAGAGAAATAAATTAAAATATATTTGGAAAAACAAATTTTATGATATGTAAAACGCAACTGCATCGTTCCATTTCTCGCGCATGATCATAATGAAGACATATTCAAAAACATGTGATATGAATTAACGTTATTCGGTTTAATAAGTTTCATAATAGAGTTCACAACTCAAACGTAAGAATTGGAAATATGTTAATAAACTTTTGGAACAAGTAAGATATAATACTGACAAACAAAAATTTATCTTTTTTTTTTTTTGGAAAATATAGTAAAATAAATAGTATACATACAGACAAAAATTTATGCTTTTCGGAAAATATAGTTAAATAAATAGTATACATACACACGAAGACAGTAGGATTTCTAAAAGGAAAGATTCTCTTCTTCCATTCAGGAAAGGAGAAATATCTTTACGAGTAGGATACTCCAGAAGAAAAGCAATACTATAAGATCAAATTCTTTGTCGCATTTTTGAAGAGTTTTCAGTCTTTGAATGGTTGTCACGCTTGCAGAAAAATGCCTCTCAGCACTCACTGTATTCTGGAGATTACATATTATTTTTATGTAATGTAAATATATTGTGTTCCCGTTACGAATTTGTGGAATTTCTTGGCTCGTAAAAATGCCGATAATTAAGTACTTTCCGAACTCTCATCGTGCCTGGTACATTATTACAGAAACAGAGATAGAATGGAAAGAAAGAAAGCAATCATAGAATTAATTTTCGCTCGCTGTATTAATGCAGAGTGCCACGGATGACAATAAGAGAATGTACTTCATAGATCATAATTAGATGAAAATATGGTACGACTTATGACTAGCATAAACTGGCTAAGATTCGAGAAACTATTCAAACTGGCGGCTGCTTTGCTTCTTTCTTACAATCACGAATATCGCAGACCCAGTTTTCCAAGTCCAGTTGTGAATTATCGCAAAGAGCAATTTAATGCATCATTTAATGCATTTGATATATTGCACAAGTGTGTATATATATGTGTCGATATAAATATACATAAACCATTTGAAAAGCTTAACGTTTTCGCCGAACAAGACGCCAAATAAGTATTGCTTCTCACAATTACAAAGCATAATATTATACTCGGTCCCATGTAAGAATGATCGCGGATCTGCACATACAATAGTAAAGCAGGAAGAAGATCGGATTCGTCTAATACTATAATATTGATTGCTTTAGTAGCAATCACACACACAACACGCAGACAGTTTTTTAACACGTTGATTGTCAAGAGAAATTATATGAGAGTACAGGATATTATATCAAGAATCTCCAATCTTCCTTAAATTTAATTATCTTAAATACATCATGTGTGACATATTTGAGATAATTATTAAATAATTATCTCAAATACAATATATCTAAGGAAGACTGGAATTTTAAAGTTGCAGTTTCATTTGTGGAATTGTATTTAGAACAGCTATACAATCTTTTATCTGACAAAGAAAGAAGCCAGTTCATGAATTATGCAGCTGATGCGACTGCAATGAACACATAGCAATCGTAGTCGTGCAATATTCGCACAACAAAAAAAATGATCCGAATACAACAAGTGACAAAGTTTCATTTAAGATCACTATTTCCAACGTCGGTTAACTTTAACCGAAAGTTCCAACTTGTCAACAGTCCAAATTGCCAATATGAATGAAATATCGTTATCAAAAAGAAAAAAATTTTGTAATTTTTGTCTTCTTTAATAATGATATTTTATTCTTCATGTTAGTAATTCATTAACAAATTAGAATCAGGTTACCGTTAACCGACATTGGAAACAGTTGATTTAGCGTAGTCGGAACGTAGCAAGAAGACTCGAGCCACTAGACAACGCTTTAAAGAAGGTGTAAATATAAACAAAGAATTGCTGGCTGTGGGCAATGTAATTTCGTAAGTCGATGATGGTGTCTCTGGAACTTATGTTGGATATAGAAATAGTAAACTTACGACATTACAGGATTTCTTAGATGGTAATGACTCTATGACTCTTATGATTGCCTGCGTTAATCCTATTGATTATAATTTAGATGAAACTCTTAGCACACTGAGATACGCAGATCGTGCGCGCAAGATAAAGAACAAGCCAATTATAAATCAAGATCCGAAGTATATAATTTACCAATTTTCTTAGTAAATTTATCGCTATTTAATCCTTCGATAAAACAATTTTCTATTATTACATTATGAGGAAAATTCGGCTTTCGAAGCTCATGAAATACACTGGAAGATTAAGTGCAAAAATTGTACATTTCACAGTGCGACAATCAATGTGTTAACTCATTCATAAGTTCATTTGCAACGATATAAATGCATTAACATATCAACATGGAACAAAGTATATATGTATCTGCTCATATTTCGATGGTCTGAAGAATCACTCTTAAGAAACGACCATAGGTCGAAATAATTTTAAATTATGGTTCTTCAATACTTTCTTGCAAAGCGTGATGAGTTGAACAATGTGTCAATTTTAAGAATTTTGATTACTATACGCATATAATTTTATAAGTGTACGAGGTAATTTCGTACAGAAGTGACTTGAATAAGCTTCTACATCAGAAAAAAATGAAAGTACAATTTGCCTTTAGAATATATATGCAAGTCGAATCTTATCCTTCATATTAAAGTTAACAGGGAAACTCGTTTTAGACACTCTAGATTACACACTTGTGCATCTCGAAACATTATATAATGAATTCCGCACGAAGAAATCATTGTTCACTTATTTCACTTGCGCGTAAGGAATTCACTGTTAACGTGCTTAAACACGTTTTATCAATTGTTTTGTCAACTCTAGACGGATAATGATTAAAAGCATATTTCAACGCGACGAAACTAAACATGTTTTTTTTTTCTTTTTTTAAACTTAGCAAATATAAGTTTAACGCATCCGACAATTCTCGTTGGTAGATACCAACTCTTGTCTTTATAATTTTTTTACTTTTCTTTAATAATTTTATATTATACGTAACTCTCTCAACACTTTCGCAATCTTTCGTATTTATATTTCTTCTTTTATACTTTTTTTATACCTTTAACGTATTTTGCAAATATATAGATATATATATACTTTTAGCGCAATGTTAGTTTTACTACCAAGTAATACTAACTATAATGGACATTGTATCACATTAATTTCCATATTTCTTATATGATTTCTCTGTCGATGCTTCTGCTTTCACAGCGCTTGTCTGCTTGTCCTCCCTCTAATTATATATAATAGCAATCATTTATTCGATTTTACCGCCAGGGGTTTAATCTTTCAATCTTGTCTCCCATATAAAATATTAAAATATTTACACAAAATGCTTCGAAATATGCGTATGATGCGATGAGAACATGAGCTGAGATTAACATAATTGTGATAGCATTAACTTACGTTTCATCAATATGTACATCTCAGCAGGCGACATAAACGAAATATCTAAGAGAAATCATTACGTGTTTGTGATGTATGTGAATTAATCATTTGTACTTTTGAGCCAAATTTTGATCTTTGTACTGGAAAAAACGAATCTTGCACTTCTGCTTGATGTACCCAGATGAATATTGAGACCATAAAAAATGCAATGTTTTCTTAACGTCTCTTATTCCCATGGCGTCGCGCGTATTTGCGGCTTTTTCTGCGAAAGAAATAAAGATAGCATTAGATAATAACAAGATTTTTTTATGGTAATCTAGAAAAATGAAATGGTAACTACCTGATCTTGCTCGGAGACGGAATTGGAGCATGTTCTGCGATTACCGGTAGCACGGATATAAATTTAGCAGTCGGACGTAAAACGCGTGCAGTGCGCGGCGACAATTTCCAGACCAATTTCTGTCTGTAAGGCGTTTGCTCCTGGGCATTATACTTTTTCAGTATAGCGTCCACTGTTCCGTACGTGGTGCAAAAACTCTCATTTGAGATCTAAAAGATTATGCGTGAAATATAAAAATTAATAAAGAAATTTAATTAATTAAAATAAGGGCAGATATTATCTTAATAGTTTTTATTTATCTTCAAAAACCTTAATCTTACCGTTAATAGAAACAATCTTATCTATACTTATTTGGATTTACTTAGATATTTATATCTTTTATTGAGAAAAATGCTTTATATTGCGACGTGTCTGAATAATGAACACATAAATATGTAAAATAAAAATTTGATATCAAAATATAAAAACTAATGAAGAAAGATTTATATATATATAGTGCAAACTTACATTGCATTTCTTTCGAAGCCACAGTGCGTACTGCGTGAATTCATCCTTCAGCGTCTCGTAGGACGGTGCGATGGTTCCATTCTGCGAAGATGGACCGTCAGGTATGTTAGAGTCCCCGTTCGCATTCAACCGATTAACAGCAGCGTCCAAGTAAGTGCAGAGTAACACCAAGGCCACTTCGGATGACCTGAGACTCGCTGAGTTACCGTCGCAAGCTACCATTTCCAATCTAAGAATCAACTCAGATTCCTGAAATGAAATAAACAATGTCAGTATACACTTCATCTAATCGTAAGTTGCGCATTAAAAATGTATTCTTAAATTAACATTTATTCTTATAAAAAAAAAAAGAGGAAAAATACATGTTTACGATTAATGTAAGCGGGCTGAATAAATTGTACCTGTTCGATATGCAAAAAATAATTTTTGTTGTCCGTTAAAAATATCAGCTTACCTTAACAATACTGGCGTATATATCACCAAGGCTCAATTGCTCCGCTAATATGTGGAACATATTGTTGAACAGCTGTAGAAAAGTCAGTGCGGTAATGGGCTGAGTACCGGGTGCCCATTCCAATTTATTTCGTATCACTTCAGACATACGCTTCAGGTCGTCGGCGGTGCATCGGCATTGTGAGATCGAGACTAAGTGGTCGGCGTCTAGGGATTGCACCCGCTGAATGGCGGCTATGTAAAAGGCGGATACGCTGATGCAGTTTATGTGCTTCTGCCTCGCTTTCATCTTAGTCAGAAAACGATCCATCAGATTGATCGCCATGAAAAATACATCCGATGAAAAGTCGTACACCACTTTCAAGCATCTTAAAACATGAGCAGATCTGTCTCGGGCACCGATGGTTACTTCATCGTCCTGTAACATTGTAAGAGTCTCTCCGTTAAAAATCAAAAATAATACACTAAAATCTTATTATATTTCTTATTTAAAAAGAATATAATTGAATTTAACAGTAGCAAAAATAATTCCACTGATAACGCTTGTAAAAAATCTCACTGCAGTTTCTTTCCTTTGCCAATTGTCGCACGAAGGCGACATTCTTACCTGAGTTGTAACAGGTAATTGACGGAGGTTTGGTTGAAATTTAACCTCCAGGACCAGGTCTTCTTCTAACTTTTTAAGCAGGGGGATTGCATCCGGTACAGGCAAGCCCGATGTGTCCATTCCTGTGTTGTGTGACATCACAACAGCTAACTACAACAACGATCCGACTACAACGACTTGACAGCCAGGGCTGGCGTGTAGTGTGGCTGATGAGAAGCACACAACAAGAATGACGCAGCTGGCTAGCCTTGTATCTGTGAACAGCGTATAAACACCTCGAGATAAATATTGTAAACTATGTAACAAACAAAAGTTTATTTTTAAAATAATATCGTGTTCTTAAATTTATATAATATATAATATATAATGTTCCAGAATCTCAATTTTAATGACAGTACAAAAAGAAATAGAGCTGTTAGTGCAAGCAATCATTTATTGATCGATATATTTCTAATTTTTGTTCTACGATAGCATTTAAGTATTTAATTTTCAGCTTTCATTCGCGTCTGTTATTTCTGCAGTGATAAAGCTCTTTTCAAGTGTCGTTATAACATTTTATTGCTCATTCACTTTTCCCTTAGCGTTACGATTAGTGTATATTATAAAGTCGCATGCACGTCGATTTGACATTACGCAGATATCCCTACCCACGCCCAGGTCACCGAAATAGCTACACGTCACGCGTGAACGGACGCACGATTATACAAGGCCGACACGGGGACTTTTTCTCTTTTAGCGCGACTGTTCGTAGACGATACAAACAAAATGTTACGTACATCTTTGCTCGCACAACTTAATTGTAGAAAGAAAGGGAGAGAAAGAATCTATTTCAAGGATGCGTGATCCTGTAGTAAGGCATATTCTTTAATTTCTCTTTCTCTCTCTCTCTTCTTTTTTTGCCTCTCAATGTGAGAAAGAGCGAAATAAATGATAAATGTGCGAAGCAACAAAGATAAGAAATAAAATAACAGTAAAAAGAAACAAGGAAACGACGTCACAGTCAAATTCAAAATATACTTTTAGCAATGAAGATAAAGGCTACATTGCGAAATATCCAGAGAGTCTTAACTCCAGAAGGATCAACAGTTAAAAATATATCAAAAGCAATGTAAGCACGCTATATCCTGAGCCCATCATCATTAGAATCTGAAATTATTGAAAATATCTTAATACCAAGTGAAAAGTGCGTGAGCAATCGCAATGAGGTCATAGTTTGTGTGACAAAAAAAATAAAGTACGTATCAGCAGTTAAAGGCGAGTCACTTCCAAATTAAGCAAAATCAACGTCAATCTGTAATCTTATATGATCTGACGTCACGGTGAAGATAAGCGTTTTCTACGGCGGAGGAAAAAAGTAATGAGCGTGATTTTTTGATTAAATTTTTGCACTGTCAGTCGAAATGAGGAACTGGAGGAACCATAAGTCACGTATTGACTCTTGATCACGAAATAATCGAAAAAGAATGATCTCATTGTTTTTCCTTCTTTCTCGCGACAAATATTCGTCCGGAGATAAAAACCAATCGCGAAATTAAAAGCAATAGGTAAACAAAATCGGAACGTCGAAAATAAATTAAAGATATATCTGTCGTTAAACAAAATTTTTTAATGCGAGCTACGCAATTTCTTATCTGATATTACAAGCTGTGACTTTATGATATTTAATTGAAAAATAAGATAAGTGTGTTCAATTTACTAAATAAAAATCTTCAAATATCCTTATAAATTGCAAAATTAATTCAATCTCTATAAAGCCGTTTGCACACAAAGAGAATAATTGAAGATTCGACCTCGAATAAAATTGTTGCAGCTTTTTCACTTTCTCTTTTCCAATGCGACAAAATAACTACAATAAGATTAAATCATGTGTTTGTGCTTTAAATATCAAATGTAATACAATTTTAATTATTCAAAATTGTTATCAAATATTATTTATCTTTTTTAAATCAAGAATTGTGACGCAAACAAATCGAATTTTATTGTAAAAATTATTTATCTAGAACTTAAATTAAAATTAGTCAATTTGCGCGTTTGACAATGTAATATGCAATCTTGTTTAATAATAATTTTATAATACGTCGTATCGATTCGCAAATGCAAAGAATATTTTTGTAAGAAGATTCTAGCAATTGCGTACACGCTGTGATGCAATATCGGACGATCTTTTCTCGTCAGAACGTGTGTCGCAGAATTTATGCAGGCGTCGTCAGTTTCTGTAAGAGAACATCTCAACTGTAAAGAGATTGTAACGATAATAAAAAACGATAATAATGCACTTTTATCCCTACTACTACTACTAGTTATAAAATAAAATTAATATATTATAAAATTTATTTTTAATTCTTATATTACGTAGTTTTATATTATTTGTTATTCTTAATTTCGTTGGTGTTGATTTCTGTTGAAAAAAAGTCGCGAGGAATGTGTTAAAAACTGCCGCTTGAACCGACCGATTCGGTCCTCCAACCCTGAAAATAAATTGGAATGTTCTCCACAATGTTTGGAGAGATTTCTTCGACGAGGAAAAAAACGAAAAAGCAAAAATATCGTTAGCATGCGCGAAGTTGTTGACAAAATTTTGCTCGTTATCGTGTTATCGCAATTTCACATTTAAAGATTTAAAAATTATTGACATTCCGATCATTAAAACTTTTAAATATATATTTAAAACAAGTCGTAAAATTTCAATATAAAATATTTTTTAATTGTTCGATATTTGAATGGCAAATTCAAAATATTATCAACTCAAGAATGGTTTCGTAACTTTTTTGCATGGAAGATTGTGTTAGTTCTTTTAGATCTTATTTAAAAACTGCTGTTATCACAGACATAACTAGAAAAAATTTCGAATTATTTACCCGGAAATTCCCGGTCATTTCCGGGTTAATAATGTTAACGTTCTTGGAAAAAAAGTCGCACTTTTACAAATCGATGCGTTATAAATGTTCGATGTTATAAAAAAATCTTATGTATAGAGTAGATTACATTTTTCTGCGAGCAACATTTAAATGAGTTTTTACATACAGTCGACATCAGAATTCCTACGAGAGAGATAGCAAACAAACCATAATATGAAATATCTTTCCCACGCAAAACGGAGTAATAAAATTCAAGATCGCGCAATTAAACGACTATTAAATTCCGCGTCGACGGCGGGAAAGCGGCGGTGCGTAACAAAAACATTTTCGCGATACGTTCCCAAGAAAGTGTGCAAATGCGAACTACTACTTACGCCTGTTTATGGAAAGGCGAGGGGGAAAAGATAGAGAGAAGACAGCCGTCTTGCGTATCACAGAAGTATGTGGCGTCGACGAACAAAGGCGGCCGTGCACGCGGTTGTAAGAGCACGGCTGATGCAACCGTAAGAACTGTCAAAATCAGGGTGGCTCGCGAACGTTCGTCGATACACTCTGACGTGCCGTTGATTGATAAGATAAAAAAAAATGCTCGCGTTTAAATAAAATGCATTTCTAGATCTACGTCAGTCTTAAGGGTTGCGTTTGATCACTTGGCTCCTTTTATCTCTCTTTCACTATTGAAGGAATGTCTTTATAATCTCGATATACTCGCGAGCAAACTTCGACGGTTATGCGCTTTGGCGGGAAAATGCTTTGTCGCAAAATGTTTATGCGTGCGGCTGTGCAACTTCTCGCGAAGGAAATGCGTGCACTGCTATTTTTGTTTTTGCGTAAACACGCAAGGATCCCTGCAAGGAGCAGAGAAACGCGCAAACGCGAGACTCGCCTTGCGTGTAGGATTGCAACTGACCGACTGACAGCCAAGTACGATAGTACGAGGTGAATACGAGTCACGACGTCACGAGCAACGGCCGGAGCATCGAGAACGGTCGAGCGCGCGCAGAAAGACACGAAGCGTCACGCGGCAGTTGCAAGCGCACAGTCGAATACGTTAATAGCATTGTGTTTCTCATTGTGTTTAACTATCAAATGTTTTTTTTTTAATATTTACGAAGCATTTTTTTCTCATTTTAACAATTACATAATTTTATTACACCGTTTTGTCGTTTAATTGCTTCATGCAGCTAAAGGTTGGAAAAAATTGATGAATAGTGTATCACGAAGGACCCCTGCGAACCTATCGAACGCTATTAATACATTCGATTATACAAACAACTTATGTTTACACTCACGTGAGAATGTAGAGTCTATTCCTCCATCACTGGAAGATAAACGCTTCTGGAGTAGATATAGAGAGAATTACACGAGCTCGCGTGACGCAATTGCGCGAAACGCAATTTAATTAATTTTCCCGATCGCTTAACCTTGAAGTCTAACAATGTATTAATGTAAATTTGCATTGATCGCCTTATTAGATTGCAAATATTTTTTGTTATTAATGTTTCAATACATCAAATAAAAAAATAAATGCTGTTATATAAAAACTTCGCAATTTTAGAAAAATTTGATCGAAATATTTTGCAATGATAAAAAAATACGTCAGATCATATTATTATATAAACATAGAAGAATGTTAATAACGATAAATGTTGATTTTGTATCATTATAATGGATATAGAATCCATACGACAGTTAAGATCAACTTCAGCTTCAGCAGTGTAGATGAAATAAAATGGTGTGTTGTATAAGGTTAAAGGTTACGTCATCATTTTATGTATACTGTGAGAGTTCAACGCACTCGCGGACCAACGTAAATGTTTATCGATTTTCGTGCGTTACACATGTTAGAAGATGTAATACGTCCGCCAAATATTGTCATCAGATATTGTGAATTAAAATCGTTCCGAAAACGTATGTAATATATAAATGCAATAACAAAATAAATAAATTTTAATATAATTCTGTTGATACAACAAATGATAAAAGTCATTATATTGTAAAACTATTAAAAACCAGCAACGATATCATTAAAACAATATCATTATAAGTATTGATTTCATGTCTATTGTAAAATAACTATCGTAAAATAATAACCAAGAATTTTATTATCAGAAAGTTATCGCGTCGTCTCATTTATTATCCATTTTACTTATTATTCACCTTTCATTCATTCATAGTGACTTCATTTAATTTTTTTACGAACATTGCTTATTGTTTTAACGATAATTAAATATCGCGGAAATGGTTTAAAGTTAATCATGAAAATTGATCACTATTTCACAATACATAACACGTGTTTGCACCAAAAAAAAATACAAACGACGAAAAAATAACGAACAATAAAGAAAAAGCAAATTTGTGACGTTGTAGAATAATATTTTAAAAGTGTCAGTCATCGTATATGGTTCGTATATTAACGCATGCTACTTGCGTTAATCTTTCTCTTTTTAATTATCTGTAGTCTTCTTCTAGACTTGTAAATTTTACAAATTGTGTCTCGGAACGAATAATAAATTCTATCATTAATATAACGTTATTTTAATGATATGAAGACAATGTTTTCTAAGTATTTTAGTCATCGTCAAATCAATTTAGTCTTATATCAAAATAAAATACAATCTTAAAAAAATATCCAGAATTTTGTCTGTATACATTTAATTCAAAATAAGAAAATTGCTAAATAGTAAGAAATAATAATCAACTGAAAAAAAGTCACGCTCGAGATACAGCGTTTATTTCGAAATTATAAAATCTATTCGTTTTGGTCGTATTTTCCGCATTTTGTTTTTTTCTTCAAAAAACAAACGATATCTATTGTGCTCTTAATCTATAAGAGACAGCTAAAATAAACAAATTGTACTGTATTAAATTACCAAGATTCTGATATTTATTTCAACAATTATCTCACTTATAAATAAATTAAAAAATAAAACAAAATTCATAATATTAGTCTTTTTTTCTCATAAATCTTTACACCAATTGTTTGTTTCTTGATACCAATTTGGAAAATATTTGTTTCACAAATCTAAACAAAACAATCTTTCTCTGTAGCTGTGACCCTATAGTGACACAAAGGAAGAATAAACACAAAATCATTCGGTTGAAATGGAGAATAATTTAAAATCTATTCGTTTCAAATGCAATAAATTACTACTTAGATACTGGAGAGAAAGAGAAAAAAGGCATAAAAGTCTGATATATAATGAGAACCGACTAATCGACCGACCAAAACGTAGAAGTTTTGTAGAAATCTCGAATTGACTTTTTTCCGTTATTTGTCATTTCGATGAAACAACAAATGAAAAATGCAAATTAATGACATAAACTCACCCGGATGCGTCCGAAACGCCTTCACCTCAGCAAATCACCCAATCTTGGCAAGCGTTTTGCTGCTCAGTCCGGGAGGATAAACAGAAACCGCACCAAATACTACGTAGACTGACGGTTGCTTGAACAATAATGGCCTCCTCACTCTTTCCCATTTTTATTGCGTCGCCGATTCAGCTGATCATAGCGCACCAACGCGTCTGCGCGGGAGTTAACGCGGTTGGCGGGAATTACAAGTTTCGCTTTTAAAGTAAAAATTAAACGTTTTAAAAAATTTACAATGAATCAATTATACGGTTTGAATGTTAAAAACACTTTTATAAATATTAATAATCAAAATTATTCTTTGCATAATTATATAATTACGTGATTTTTGTAAGAATTGTTATGTAATTTATAGTGTAATAAAATATTCTTTTGTATAATAGTTCAAAAAATTATGCAATTTCAATAAAAATTATAATGAAAATTGTAGTCATATCTTCTGAAAAAATATATTTTATTACTTAGATGATAAATAAGATAAATTTTTCATTATCTTTATAACTTTTGGTTACCAAAAATACTAGTGTGCGCAACTGCACAGAAAAATGATAATTTTCCTATTATCGGTTATTTTGTCTTTTTACTTCCAGACTAACTGCATCAATGTCTTCAATTCGTTAATTCAAAACTAGTTTCAAACTCACGACCTACAAGTCACATAAATATAACTTGATACATAAATCTTAACTATAATGTAATTGAAAAAAGAAAATTAAATTAATAGATTAACTAATTGCTAGTGCAATTGGCCACATTTTTCTATTTCAATATTTGCACCTATTGTTTTATAGAAATTCATCCGATTCCGATGATTCCTCTCTTTCTTCTTCCAATTGCTTTACAGTTCTTTCCAAAGCAAACAGATGTTCGTCCTGTACACCGGGAGCTATTGTACGCATCGCGGATGCCAGTTTATAGAGATATTCCGTGTTAGAGCCGCTGACACCACGAGAATCGAGTATATGTCTTGCAATGGTATCGATATTCTCCGTACCAGCGTAATTCGGATTATCTTCTTCGCCTATGTAGATAGTGAGGTAGAATGGTGCTTCGTCCGAGATAGTTGATAAAGACGCTATCGAGAAATTCGTCTTTGAAAAATTGTTCGAAGAAACATCAGAATTTGAGCCACTTTGGATAGACTTTGATAAATCGCAGGGATAAAAAAGGACGGTTTTCTTTTTGTAACCACCCTTCTCTCGAAAATCCAAATGATTCACCACATTGTCTATATTCTCGGAAGATATCTTGTATGCGAGTCCCCATACTTCATCGTCAGGATTTGTAGAAGCAAGCAATGTTACTACTCGTCCAGGCTGAAAGAATATTTACATTTAATACAAGAGAAATTAAATAAATCTCAAAAGTTACATTCTTACGCAATTTCTTCTCTTACATTTTTCTCTAAGCTGCGAGCTAGAGAATTTAAAAACAAATACTATTAAATAATCAAATACTTTTTTCATACTCGTCAGTTAGGTTAGGTTAGTTGATGAGAAACGTTAAACATTTTCAGGTATAACATGCAATACTTTAAATAGAAATAATCGTAAGAATGATATAAATAAATAATTAAAATATTCTGTAAAAAACAAATAACGTTATTAAAGATCTTAATAAATAAACATTGTTACAGAGATTTTAATCATTTAAGCGGAATAATTTAATTCTTCCCAAAAAGATATTTACCTTACTAGGCACTCCTCTGTGATCGGTGCTTTTTTGGTAGAAGCGTCTGACGTATCCTTTAATGCGGCCGACGAGTTTTTTCTCGTACGGAAAATCCGCTTTCCATATTAAAGAACCATAACCAAACACCCACATGCTTGCTCGCTCGCGTTATGTCTGCGAACAATTCTATTGTCGACAATCGCGACTATGTCGTACAAAAGTGCTGACTCCGTCCAACGTTTCGAATAACGATATCGTCTTTCAATGCCGCGGCATAATTTCGAGATAGATCCGTTCCGAAATTATGCCCCATGTTACGTTCGACGCGTCTGTTTCGCTTAGCGAACATAACCACTTTGTCATTATACACGTTAAACACACGTGACGTGACGTATGCACAGACGTATATAAAATACAGAGATAGTATCGCGATTTGAAAGATTAGTGCGGAACAATTTATGACAGATGCGACAATAACGATTAGTACATCTTGCTATATTTATTTATGGCAAAATAATGTAAATTTACTATATGCAAAATGATTTCTAAATTATTACGTACAAACGTTCTCGCTGTACGATGCATAGAAAACCTTGTGCTCGTAGGTTAGTTGATAAGAAATATTAATATTTATTATTAATAAATTATTATTAATTATTAATAAATTTGATATAAAATATTAACATATATGTTAAATAAAAATAAGAATTAGATAATATAACATGAATTGCACATTTAATAAATTTCAAAACATAGATTGTTAGAAATTTATGAAATGGTTTTTTATTAATACAGGCATGGGACCCATACTTTATATCTTCGACAAAGACTCTTATGAGTTGAAAAGTAAATTAGATTGTTTGTATCCAAGTAATATACATGGTATTATAGTGGGACCAGACAATAAATTGGCTATATTTGGTGCTAAATCGATATGCATCTGCAACATTGTCAAAGAAGAAGGAGAATTTATGTAAATATCATTACTTAAGTGTAACCGGAGAGATGCAATAATAATTTTGTATATATAAAATGATAATATCTTATTTTTTCTGTTTCAGATTTAAAAAACAAAGTACTGATCAATTCAATGATTGGATAATTGCTGTGGAATGGATATCAGTTAAGACAGAAATACAATTAGCAATTCTATTTGCACATAATTATATATCAATATATAATATATTTGATAAATCTTCTCAAGTTACACTTTGTAAAGAAAAATGCATTCTGTATCCTTTTATGACATTCACTAAGTAGATCCTTGCAGATTTATCTGATATATATGAGTTTTCTTAATTGATATATAGCTATGGTGGATCTATATCAGGAACTTCTCAAAAGGACTTGGTCATTTTCAGTGGAACAGTATTTCAAGAAATTTTAATATGGAAAATAGATAATAGTTGTGGAATTAATGAATGCATGCCAGTTTTGCATCGTTTAACAGGACACAAGGTGAGTGTTTGCACTTCAAAGATCATTTAAGCCAAAATCCTATTTTAATGCGGCCAAAAATCATATTCGTTCTAGGGTGTAATTTTCTCTGTTATTTATGATTCACATTTGCGGTTTATTTGTTCCACATCGGATGACAGAACTGTCAGATTATGGAAAGTAACAGAAAGTGAGAATTTTGAAAATAATATAAACTGGCAGGCAGCAAAGATAGTACTAGCAAAAACAATGTTTGCACATACAGCAAGAGTTTGGAGAGCTATAATTAGAAACAATAATGTAGTAACGATTGGAGAGGTAAAATTTCAATTATGTATGAAGATTATAATTACTTTTTATATATTAATCTTCTACTATTTTTAGGATTCTCTTATGTGTACATGGTCTCTCTCAGGTAATTTACTTAATAAGGTCTACGCCCATCATGGAGCACCTATATGGAGTATCGACACGTGTAAAAACAATGAAAATATTTTCACGGGTGGAGCTGATGGCTCTGTATATGTATGGCCAGCAGCATGCTGTAATAGTCCCAAAATAATTTCTCTACCTAACAATGATGCGCACAATATTCCTAAATACATATCTTATTTGAGCAGTGGAACAATTTTGATCTTTAATGAAAAGGGAACACTACTATGTTACAACAAAGATGAAATAATGCCAAAAGAGACTCTTTATTTAGAAAAATACTGCAGTTACTGCATCATGCAAGTTTCACCATGTCGTTCCTTTATTGCTCTTGCATCTAGAGAAGGATATGTAACAATATACAAAGGTACATTTATCATAATATAAATATAAATATCAATAAAATATAAAGAATTTTTTTTTTTATTATATTATCCAATTTATTCAAGTTTTTCAGTCAAATGGAAATGTTCATTCAATGGAAATGTACTTTTAGAAATTATTAATACAGATAGCAGTCATCTACAGCAGCTCATTGAAGAAAGAATAATGGAATCACAAATCTTTTCTTTACAGTGGTTGAAAGATGACACATTGATAGTGTGTGAAGCAAATGGTCTTTTGAAAATATTTAATTTTACCATCAGTGGTATGTGTACTATACATACAATTATACTCAAATATGTTAAGACATGTTCCATTATTATTAGAATTTTTTCTAGGTGTGATTCATGTGAAAGCAAAGTGTGTATTACCTCCTAGTCGCGAATGTTGGTTGACTGCAGCTACAATTTATGAAGAATTATTAATATGCGGAAACAGAGCTGGGAATGTTCATGTTTATGAGTTGAACAATGCGAACGAGGACATTAAAAAACCTGTTCAAACGCTTAGCAAAATTCACGGTAAAATAGGAGTTCAGTCTTTTACTGTATTAGAAGGAAAGTTAATGACAACTGGACGCGATGGAACATTAAGATTTTTTGAACTGAGCAAAGAAGACACAAAGTCCTTATTGATGCTTCACAGAAAAAAAATGCCAATGGATTGGATTAGTAACACGTTAAAAGTGGACGGAATTGTGCTCATACTTGGCTTTAAAGAGGTATAAATCAAATAATATAAAGGAAATTAAAGAAATTGTTCTCTTAATTTTTTTTTAGGTGGAATTCATTATATATGACTTGTTGCATGAACGAATATTAATCAGAGTTCCTTGCGGTGGGGGTCACAGATCGTGGGACTGTATGATGTTGAATGGAACAGCAAGTTTCGCTTATATACGAAATAAACAGATCTATATATTCGATTATCCTTTGAAATCTTTGAAACTACCTATTTTACAGGTATGTGATGCTAACTCGTTCGAAAGAAAGGTTGTACAAGTCTCTAGATCTTTGTTTTCTCTTCTAGAATGGTTTTCATGTAAAAGAGACATGTTGCCTGCAACGTATTTCGAGACTTGGTGCGCAAAATATTTTCATATCCGGTGGCGAAGACTGTACTCTACGCATTAGCTGTATTTCCAAAACTGAGAACAATTCTCACGTCTTCCATAATTTAGGAATTTTTGACGGTCATCTTTCGGGCATAAGATGCATAAGCATTATTAAATTAAACAATAAAGTCTGCGACTTGGGCAGCAAATATCTAGTCTTTTCTGGCGGAGGAAGAGCGCAACTGAAAGTTTGGGAGATAAATCTCAAATATAATCAATCGGCACCAAGTGCCGATTTATCATGCTCGGATATAAAATCTCATATGCTCTATGGGCAAGACCAGTATCGTAAGAAATCTTGGCAAGAGGCTAAGCAGTCTTACGTCATCGAACCAGAAACACGTTATATGGATATTTATGTATATTATCCTTCTGAAGATGTCAGTCATGTATTAATATTTGTAGCTTGTGCAGATGGATACTTGAGGTAACTTATTTATTCTATCGAGTACTGTGCCAACAAAATTACAAAATAACGTTAGTTTCATTTTTGTTATAGACTATTCATATACAATATCAAAACTGGCAATATATTTTTGAAAGTATCTACCAAATATGTAGATCGTTGTATGTTGAAGATGTATGTGTTATCTCACAAATGCAAAGTGATTGTGTTAGCAATGACTACGGATGGAACGCTACGTTTTTTCGATTTTACCAACATAGTATCAAAAATATATGAGGAAGCAATATCTGAGAACGAGGATATTATAAACTTCAGTGATGCCCCTTTTGCGGAATTTAGCTTGCATCAGTCAGGAATAAATTCTTTCGATTTAAAGAATGTGGACGAGGACAGGTATTTTTTGATCACGGGTGGTGATGACAATCTTTTCAATCTCGTCTGTTTTCAAATTTGTTTGGCGGAACACGACGGAATATTATCAGCTGTAATATTATCTAAATGGAGCACAACATCCGCACATTCTGCGCAAATTACAGGTATTTATGTAATGCTTTTAGAATATTTTTTAAGCAATATATATCATACCCTAAACATAAGAATTTACAAAAGTGTGTGATGTTAATAGGTCTGAAATTTAAAGATGACAATCAGATATGTAGTGTGGGAATAGATCAGCAAGTCATTATCTACAATTATTCGTGGTCCAATGGAATTCTATCTGCAAATATCTTAAATCAAGCATTTACATCTGTCACAGATGTGCAAGGCATGGACTTGTGGCCTTCGGATAAGTAAGTTTAAAGATCTATTAAATGTCATAATTACATTACTTTATCTTTCTAAAAAAACAATATTATGTTAACAGCAACAATACTATTGTGTGTGTATATGGAAGAGGCTTTGAAATATTGTTCATCTAGACTCTTGCTAAAGCCAATACTCGAACTACTGGATCAAAAATATTTTTTATGTGAATATCTTGTGTACAATATCACATTCATTTACCATAATTGACTGTTGAAGTTTGCAGTCAGATAGGTGAATTTTGTATATAAATATGATGTAAAATGATTATTGATTGATGTAAATCTAAATAATCATTATAAAAGTATATAAATATATGCATATAAATGCATTTCAACGTCTTTTAAAAACCCGATTTTTATTTTCAATCCTTTATTTAAATTTTAATTAAATAAATTATACAAAGTAAATTTATGCAAAGTATAAGACGTTGAAGATAACTAATTGTATAAATTAAAACAAATAGTATTTTTACTTTTTAGGTAAAATTATATAAATAAGATTATGTACTCTCTGCTCTCCCAATCGAACTAATTTCATATCATGATGTTAGATGTCAGTTTGATCGCAAAAAATGGCGATACAGTGTGTACAAAAACATCATTTTGACAGCACAGCACTATAGCATTTTTTAACGATACATTCGTAAAAATTACATGTGACACAGTCAATAATTATCAAAAATGTCGAGCATCACGATATCAGCGATAAGACCGCGAACCAGTATCCTTGACAAATCATTGAGCAAGGGTAAAGGAGAGGTTAGTTTGAGCTGTTTTGCCCTTTTATTCTCCGAATTGGTGCAATACTGCCAAAACAGAGTCTACACCGTTCCAGAACTACAGAATAAGTAAGAAAAACAAATTATATTTAATGTAAATTGTTCCTCTAATACTAATTTGGTGGCTATATGTTACATATAACATTATATATTTATATAAATTTATGATTGCTTAGATCATATTTATATACAATGATTGCAACCTAAATAGATAAATGAATCTAATATTGTAGATAAAATATTCGTATAATAAATATTTTGTATTGCTGCCTATAGATTGGCAGAGATTGGAGCAGAAGTTGGGCATAGGATAACAGATTTGCTTGTGATGCGAGAAAAAGGTGGAAAGCGTGAGATAAAACTGCTGAATGTACTATTATTCATCAAAAGTACTGTATGGAAGTCTCTATTTGGTCGGGAGGCCGATAAGTTGGAACATGCCAATGATGATGAACGTACTTATTATATTATTGAGAAAGAATCTCTGGTAAATAAATTTGTCTCAGTGCCCAAAGATAAAGGAAGTTTAAACTGCGCATCCTTTGTTGCTGGTATTGTAGAGGCTGTACTTTGCGATTGTGGTTTTGTAAGTAAATTAAAATTAATCACTTTTTAATGTCAATTTCAAGATATCAGAAAAAAAATTTTAATTACAGCCTGCAAAGGTAACTGCTCATTGGCATAAAGGAACTACATATATGGTGAAATTTGACGATGCTGTTGTTGCGCGAGATAAACAACTTGAAGATCGGTAATAGAAAAAAATAAGGAAAAGTTAATGTCAAGCAAAAAATATATCTATATATAAACTATACTATGTTAAATCCATACAAGATCCTCAATTAATAAGTTAAACTTATATATTTTAAATATATGTATCTTATATTTTTAAGGCTAGCCTTGCTTAATTGTTAAAAGATCAATTGATTCTTTATAATTATGTTTATAAAGAAATGTTTATTCTGTAATTCTTTCTTTTTAATGATTTATTAACCATTTATTAATATTGTGTTTTAATAATTTATTCTGTACAATCCAGTATTAGATAAAGATCAACTCTGCTCATCTCACTAAAATATGATTGTTAATTTAATTGAATTTGAATTGTCTATCAGCATAAGACACTTGCCCAGTACGATATAAATGTTCTTTTGCGCCCTGTTGGAAATAAAGACAATATTGTCTTAATGTTGCGGTACACTAATACATTTTAATTATAACACTTAATTATAACACTTAAAAATATCTTACCCTGGATCTCTTTAGATGCAATGCAGTAACAGTAATAAGAGCTATAACAACTCCCATTCTTGTAAGATAATTTAGTGCAGTAGGTATAAAGTGTACCTCCAGTGATGTTTTTGCTGATGCATATCTGTATATTCCCGTATCAAACTATATGCATAAAATATGAATAATTGTGACAAAGTATTGCAATTTATTTATATAATTAATACAATTTTCAAACTTATTATTTTTAAAGAAAAAAATCATTAAATTCAAGCATAATAAGCAGCTCCTACTATTGCCATATTTACTAAACTTGTAGTTAGATCTGTTATATAATCATTGTAAGCATAATTCTGTAGTCAAATTATAAAGCATATACAACTCATTAAAACACACAGAAATTACACACACTTTTATAAATGTCATAGATTTTTTAGTCTGTCACTGTTCATTTAATATCAAATATTTGAGCATATATAAAACTAATGCAGTATAAAAATTAGAGTAGCACACTTAGCGTTAAATAAGAGTGACAGCACAAACTATTATTACAAAAACAAATAATAACAATAAATAAAATAACTCAATAGTTGAATAATCGTAAATATAGTGCGCGAGATCAATATTACAAATATATATTTTTGGAGGTATAAGTTAGGTTAAGTTAGGTTAAGGTTTTCTTTTGTACGTACAAGGAGACTTTTGGTCGGATGCTCCGATTGCTTCAGATACAATTCGCGCAATTGCTTCCGTTTTGCATCTCTCCATAGTGCAATTTCTTCTTCTTGTGGCGAAACGTCATATATCTTTTTTGAAGACATTTTGTATGATGGTTCGAATGTCTCAGTGTTTCTCGCTCTTTCCTGCTTTATCACGCGACATACGTGCGACTTTTATCGACTGTAAAGATTGTAAATTATCAAAAATTTTGCTTCAAATTAATATTAAATTTTAACTTTTATTTTTTAAATATAAAAGACATCACTACTTTCCATTCTTGGATCTTTAAGTTTAATTTTTGTAAAAATCTTATGTGCTCTCTAATATAAATATAAAAAAAATGTTGCATTTATCTATTTTACATAAATATATATTATAATAAGAAATTAGTAAATATATATTAAAAGAATTCATAAATAGAAAATTCGTTTCTTTACATTCCGAGAAGATTTATACTTTTTATATCGTATTTATATCGTATTGAGCTACGCACAATATAAAGCGTTATTAATAAAACATGTCTTGTGATATCATTCTAATTTATTGTCTGAAAGCAACAAAATATAGCGATAAGTAATTAATTGCGACGATCTTTCTCGCGGGTTATCGTTTCCGCCTTTCAGTAAAGTGACTTCAAAGCTTCCGTAGAAGCGTATGACGCATTTCCTTTTCATTTGTGGAGACGATTATAAATCTGGGTTATTCGATATTTATTTATCGCGGGCACATGACATGCGAGTGTGATGTCGCGTCTGGTCGCGTCTCGCTCGGCACGAAACGGCACAAAGGATATAAGTTTAAATTCGCATGGATAAATAAACAACGACTCGCATTTCTCCGATTACTGCCAATGAATCACGTAGTCTATGGTAGTGGAAGCTACCGGGAGGGGAAGGAATACAAAAGACCGACGCGAAGTCATCATTCACTTGTGTCAGCGTTCACTCCACTCGTTGTAGTTCTCCCGTCTTACCAGAGGGAAAAAAGCGGGTAAGTACAATAATTATATGTGCATTATTCACGATACTTAACCGATATTTATCAGTACTCATTCCTGTTAATCGACAAATCGTCCTCCAATAGTTTGCCGTTAATTGTGCTACTTAGAAAAAATTCGTTCTGTTGTGTCCGATTTGATCGTTGAAAAAGAAAGAGAATTGTGTTGTATAATGGACTTAATTTTTCTTGTTTTTTTCTTTCTGAAACTTGAATGTCTTTCTTTGCTCACACAGAGCAGCAATATTTGTTTAGTTTACATAACCGCACACGCATCTATGCGGAGAAATCAACCAATTGCATGTTAACATACAGGACGTGGTAAAATGGCGTTTATATTGTTAAGTACATTAGTCGATTTCTTTGTACTCATTCTTGATGTGACTTCGCTTGAATAGGTTTTAAAACGAACTGTTATCAATGTTGTTTAGAATGATAGTCATGAATATCAAGCATCTGGATATTTTTTCCACATGAAAATATATACTTTTGTCTCCAAACTCGAGGAAATGATTCACTTTTTAATAACTATCGCTATGCTGTAACGAGCAAAAATCACGCGATCTAACTCGAGAATCATCGCGCCGTAAATAATTATAACTATCAATTGTTGAAAACATTGAAAAACAATTGAAGGAAGAAAACATTGTTATGTAAATAATTATAAATTATAATATCAATTGTAAATATAATTATAATATCAATTGTTGAAGCTAGCGAGAACATCGATACTGCATTGGAGACGTATGTACTTTTTTATATGACCTTAACAAATGCGCTTATCACATTGAACGCAAGGAAACGTTTATCTAATGCGCAATTAAGAGAATAAACATTTTTCTACAAATCTTTAATGACTTGAAATGCGCAATTTCAGATTGCTTAATCACATGAACATACATTATCACTTTGATGAAAAAGTAAGATAATATAAGCGATACGATGTGCGACATAGTTTCAGCTCTTGGTTTCGTTGAGACATTAAATGATACTGAATCATATCACAGATCACGAAAATATATGACTAATCTCGAGTACCGAAATAGCAAATAAAAGAATGATGCCCTCCTCTATATTTATTTAAACAATTGCAACATATACGCGCACGTGTTTATTTTGTTTCGCGAAGGCAAATTCATAAAAAGTAGATCAATTTTATAACAAATTGTAATAGATACTTTTAACGAAAATTAAATTAATCGGTTTATGAAATATTTGACTGCTTCAAAATTCCGGACGTTCAAACTTGACCAAAGATTTTCAAGTTTATTTGAAAATTATCTATATATAGTATTATCTATTTATTATCCACATGTTTTTATATTTAACGAACATTTTTCGTTTAATTTTAATACTTAATAAATGTTAATTTTCGATAGTAGATAATTTTATAATTTTGCGTAACGGATTAAACGTTTAGGGAGGCAACAAATCCGAAATTTTTTACAACATAATAAAGAAACACGACCCTGAAGACAAAGCTTCCGAACGCACATCACGCGCGTGCGTATACATGTGTTTACAGTTTGATCAGCTGGACGTTCATTGTTCGCGTTGTTACGAGGTCTCGATAATCCGTTATCTCAGATTCATTCCAAGTTCGTGGTTTTTGATGCATTTGTTACAACTTGCGAGAAATATGCGTCATTCGTTGTATTTCTATTAAAACCGCAATTACATCGTAAGAGCAATTTACATCTCGTTCAACGATTATTTATTCCTTGAAGGTCACGTCGGTAGAGAAAGTAAAATGAATGTTGAGTGCGATCAACGCAATCAAAATTATTTGATTGGCTGTGAGACACTATTTTATATACATTGTTTTCGCGATAACAGTGACGAATACGTCGTTTTGCTGCGCGTTTTCTTATCATGAAAATAAAATGACATTTGCTCCAACGCAAATATAAAAACTCTTCTTCGCGATAATCGCAGTACAAAATGACGATCGGTCACGCTGACGCAACATTTTCTACGAATGTTGCGTGTCATTTCCGAAATTTCGGTCATGTCTGTTTTGCAGGACAAAGCCGTATTAGCTTGTGATTATTAATGGAACTCATTCGTGATTTATTAAATTATATTTTTATTTTTTAATAATATATAGATAGAAAATTTATATATTTTTAACAAGAAATCATAAAAGTTTTATAATATTCTTATATGAATGTATCCAATAAGATAAAATAAGAATCATTAAGATTAGTTGGAAAATTTTTCTAATTCTATCTGATCTGTAATCAAAAGAGTAATTGCATGATTTCTTTCAAAGTCATTCAAATTGGAGCATAATATTGAAATAATTTTTGTGTTTTCAGGTAAATTATTATTAAGAGGCAATCATGAAGGGTATAGTGGCTTTGTTATTATTGGCAGTACTTGCCACAACGCAAGCTGTTTCCTTTGACAAGATCTTGGATACAGAATGGTTTATCTTTAAGGTATATATGTTAAATTATTTGTTAAATTTACTGATTATGTGCTGTGTGAAAGTTTATCCGTTTTGTATTCAGTTATTGGATCTGGCAATGACATAGATATTATGTTTGTTTATAAAGAGTTATTGGTTACACTTGAATTCTGTAGATCATATTTCCTGTGCGGTAGCAAGCATGATCTGATTCAGCACTTGGTAATAAGACAAAGCTACATAAGTGACTCAGATTACAGTATTGATATAAGAAATTTTTGAAAAAAAGTTTTTATTCTAAATAATTATTAGTTGATCAATGAAATAAAGAAAGGCTAAAAAATTAACATTTTATGTTTAGTCTTTTTTTCAAAATAGACACTGTAAAATGAATTACATTGAAATATTTTGTATTAATAATTTAAATTATTGAGAAATAGAATAAATATTGATTGTATGTATTATTGCTTTTAGACGCATCATAAAAAAATCTACAAATCCCAAGTTGAGGAAGGCTATAGAATGAAGATTTTCTTAGATAATAAGCGCAAGATTGCCGAACATAATCGCAAATATGAATTAAAACAAGTTTCCTACAAACTAGGAATGAATAAGTACGGTGATATGGTGAGTTCAGAGAAGCAAATTATCTTAATTCGCAGATGAACAATTTTCTGTGAAACGCATATTTCTCTTACAGTTGCATCATGAATTTGTCAGTGCTTTGAATGGCTTCAATAAGTCAGTGGGCGCTAGAAAGGAACTTATAGGAGGAACATACATCGCGCCAGCTAATATTGAATTACCAAAACAAGTCGATTGGAGAAAACAAGGCGCTGTCACTGCAGTTAAGGATCAAGGACACTGTGGATCCTGCTGGGCGTTCTCAGCAGTAAGCCTGTTTTACTTTAATGCCCTTATATTGCTAATTATATTTCGGTTCAACTTTGTGCAATGCACATATTTTAAAATATACTTTTGAGTTATGTTTATATTTTATTATATCCAAACTTTTTTTCAACAAATTGCATCTCAAATTATACCAACGTTTTTTCAATTTTTGATATTTTTTTATGTATATTTGATATTTTTTGCTTTCTTTCTTAACAATTTTGTTGACAATACTAATTGATATATTTTTTTTCTTACAGACTGGAGCCTTAGAAGGACAACATTTCAGACAAACAGGTGTTTTAGTGTCCTTGAGTGAACAAAATCTAGTTGATTGTTCCAGTAAATACGGAAATAATGGATGCAACGGTGGTTTAATGGATGGCGCCTTCCGGTATGTTAGGGACAACAGAGGCCTCGATACCGAAAAGTCTTATCCATACGAAGCAGAGAATGACAAATGCAGGTATGTGTTAATTACCTTTTGTGTGACGGAAACAATTACTCATAGAATCTTATGATCTATTACACACCTGAAATTACAGATACAATCCGAAAAACAGCGGCGCTAATGATGTCGGCTACATGGACATTCCCGAAGGAGATGAACAGAAACTAAAGGCTGCGGTTGCCACCGTAGGTCCAGTCTCTGTTGCTATTGATGCTTCTCATCAGTCATTCCAGCTGTACAGTGAAGGTATATATATAATAGATTTATAGATAATGGAAAGTAATCTAATTAATTGTAATTAATGCTACATAACATTGATATAATTTGACCTAATACAAATCTAAAACTTGTATGCCTATTTTAACCTTGTAAATGATAGATTTATTGCAAAAGTTGTAAAAACAATTCTAAATTTAGTTTGTGCTCTGACTTTTCTCTTTTCACTTCAAATCTTTCAATTTTTAGGAGTATACTATGAGCCTAATTGCGATTCACAAAACTTGGATCATGGTGTGCTGGCCGTCGGTTATGGTACGGATTCGGAAACTGGTGACGATTATTGGATAGTAAAGAACAGTTGGAGTGAAGGATGGGGCGAGAACGGTTACATCAAGATGGCCAGGAATAGAGAAAATCATTGCGGTATAGCGAGTAGTGCCAGTTATCCTCTTGTTTAATCTTTGTGAACCAACTTTTAGAGCATTGTGATCTGCTTATTTAAACATGACATTTATTTTGGGACTTAACAAAGTTTTAAAACTCTTACAAAAATTTCTCCTATGAGCCTTTCGATATATTACGATATTTCCAGATTTATAGTGCGAATGTAATTAGATTTTTGGCATCTCTGTCAATATTTTATTTTTTCTTGTTTTGCAATAGAACAGATTGGTTATAAAAAAAGAAAATTTTTTTAAAATTGTGCAACTTTTTTAGGTCCCGCTACATACCTAAATTATATATAAAAAAAAAGAGAAACTCGCGAGAATTATGAGAAGATTGTGAGCCCCAAGAATAGCGGTTCGTTAGGTTTATCAGTTTTGCGTTTTTTTATTATATAATTTAATGACAATTATGAACATTGTAGGTATTAGACTATATTTAAGTTCTTTTTTTTGCTAACCCGTGTCCGCAAAATAACACAGTTATTATTCGAGGTATTTTAAAGCAGCTATAATACTATTATAGAGAGAAACAAACAGGTTTAGCAATTATAATCTAGCTAGGAATGAAATTATCTATTATAGTTAAACATATACTTCGGATAATAACTCGGTTTAAGTCAATGTTTGCTACGCAAACTGATCTCTATTTTTTAAACAAAATATAGAATAAAAAAAAGCTAAATAATTACATTAGTTTTATTTGCTCCTCAGACGTTTATGAATAATCTAGATATATATGTTGATTGTTTGATGAAAATTAAGTTACACATGCGGCAAGCTTTGTGTCCTATATCATAAAGCAAACAAGTGCGATGTATTTATATTTTTAATACTTTTGTCATTGCTTCATCCCGCATTTCGACGCATTAACGCGTCTGAGACAGTGATTGATCGCTGGGATATCGCGATCGAGTACTATCTACAAAATATACGCATTGCATTCATTTCTGATAACTCGTTAGTCATATGTCGAACCAGGAAAAGTATTTCTTTCTATTCCTTTGTGTCTCGTCTGAGTTATTAATCATTATGCTGGACTTCCTTACGCAAGTTATAAATTTACTTGTTATTGAAGAAAACTCTGTTACGAAGTCCAGTCAATTAGTTAAGGAGATAAATCTTTTGTTCATAATTGCTTATATTTAAATCATAGTGTTTTTATTTTATTCGAAGCAAGAAAATAGTTCTTTGTTTCATTTTGGATAAGGAAAATTCTTCTTAAAAGTTTCTCGAATTATTTACCTTAAAAACATTTTAATACATGTACTCACTTTAAGCTACATATTTGTAAAAATAATCTTTGTTACATAATAATATATAAATTACGTATAATAAATATTTAAGTATATGTAACAAATATTTCAAAGTTAAGATTAACTATCTTGTTAAATGATAATTATATTAAACAAGTAAAATGTAAAAAAGTATAGATTAAAATTTATACTATATTTTTAAAATATAGTTTTTGTTATAAATTTTCAAACTTTTTATTAACAGTTGATAACTCAACTGCTACGTGTACATTCATCTTTATCATCTTATCATTATTTTTTTGTCATTTTATTTCAGTAGCTGTGGATAGATAGAGTAGCATTACATATTGTGAACCTTAACCTAATCTAACCAGCATGACTGTAGATTTTAATTTGTGCTATATAACTCAGGAGAGTTGAAGACACGTCATGACAATTTATCACGACAAATATCCTCCAGCCAGAGGATAACTTAAAAAAAAAAAAGTGCAAATTTTATCAACAGTTATATTTACATCAATGTTTAATCAATTATTATATTTTATTGAATTTATTAAAAGAGCCATTTTTTCGACATGAAGATTGTACTAGTAACCGGCGGTTCGGGGCTCGTTGGCAGTGCCATTCGGAATGTTATTGAACAAGATAAGAGGGAGGATGAAAAGTGGATATTTGTTGGCTCCAAAGATGCGGATTTGTGGTAAGTTAAATTAATGATTCTTAACAAGATAGAAGTTGTGGCATTTGCATTTTCAATGGTTGTCACAGCGACAAGGAGAGTACTCGCAGATTATTCAATCAACACAAACCGACACATGTTATTCACTTGGCTGCTATGGTCGGTGGACTTTTCCACAATATGTCACATAATTTGGACTTTCTGGTAAGTGTTCTTGAAAGAATCAAGATTTCTTGCAGCTGTAATTTATATCATTTCAACTATGATTAATATTAAACTTAATTGCAGCGAAACAATATACACATGAATGATAATGTTCTCCACACTGCTCATGAGCATAATATAACAAAAGTTGTTTCATGCCTCTCCACTTGTGTATTTCCTGACAAAACAACCTATCCAATTGATGAAACTATGGTAACTATATAATTATATATCTGATATTTTTATTATTAAAATAGAAATAGTTAAAATATAAAATTACTCTATATATATTTTAGGTTCACAATGGACCACCGCATCCTTCAAATTATGGTTACAGTTATGCCAAGCGACTCATAGATGTTGCAAACAGAGGTTATCACGACCAGCATGGTAGACTATACACTAGTGTAATTCCTTGCAACGTATTTGGTCCTTATGATAACTTCCATCCCAGTGCAAGTCATGTTATACCTGGTTTAATGCGAAGATTGCAAGACTTATGCAAAAATGGTATGAAACTGTTTTCTACGTATGACTTGAATTTATTACTAAATTAACATTTTTTATTAGGAAATACAGAAGATAAGATATTCACTGTGCTTGGCTCTGGCAAGCCTTTAAGACAATTTATCTATAGTATAGACTTAGCAAAATTAATTATTTGGGTGTTGCGGGAATATGACTCTGTGGAACCAATTATATTATCAGGTAATTTAAATTGTAATAATTATTGTATTATAAATATGACATATATTTTCTATCTTTTTCAATATCTTTCTATCAAATTAAATTAAGTATTATTATTTATCCATAATTCTGTAATTATTACTACTTTTATCATCAAAATATTGCAAAACTAATATTCATTGATTCTACTGCAAAATGTAGAGTGTACGAATTTATCAACAGATAATATTTGTGAGTAAAAATGATTATATATTTTTAGTGGATGAAGCGCAGGAGAAATCGATAGCGGAGGTGGCGGAGACTCTGGTGCGAGCTTTCGATTTTAAAGGTAAGGTAGTATATGATACATCGGCGGCAGACGGCCAGTACAAAAAAACAGCAAGTAATGCGAAATTAAGAAGTTATCTACCCGATTTTCAATTCACTCCTTTTGAACAAGCAATTAAAGAGACTGTTGATTGGTACATAAAGAATTATGATCGAGCAAGGAATTAAAAAAACACTGCGTTCTTTTTTAAGATAATTAGAAATAAGATTTGCAATTTTTAGCTCAAATGTTTTATTTCTGTAAACAGATATGATTTAAATCGTATCCAGATATTCGTATCCAGATTCGTATCTTGATTATTGAATCTTGAAGGATTAACAATCATGTCTAACAGTATCAGTTTACCATTGCTATTATTAATTATATTTTTAAGATTATATTACTATAAATTTTATCATGTAACATTTCAAAGTGTATATAGACTATACTGTAAATCACGAATTTTGATTATAACATCTCTACTGAAGTCCAGATATTAACGTTAATACAAATAATACAATTTATTAAAAATGTTCAAAATTGAAACTGGAAACACCGAGTGTTATAGTTACAAATGTTACTCGTACAATTTTTTATATTGTAAAAAACTATATTTTTAAAATATATGATTCATGTGCAAAATGTTTTGTTCGTCACAGAAGAAGCGTGAGGTTGAAACAATTTTGAAGGAAACCGTCGACCTTTATGGGCGAGCTCGATCGAAATCCCTAAATACGCTATAATGCCGGCGAATATTTTCAGAGTTTTTAAATAAACACTCGGCGGTACGCGAATATTTTTATTGATCTGGAAATATAAGTTCTTACCGAATGCGCACTAAAGATAGATCCAGGCGAGCACCTGGTGCGGTACATTTATTTTCGCTCGTTCGCGGCACTCCTGAGATGTTATTTTAGGTCAGTCCATGCATAAATTTGACCGATGGATTGGTTTATGATGCATATTGACTACTGCATCGTGGGAACGTGCATTAATTTTGCAAGTGCGCAGGGCAAGTAGAAAAGTACTTTACTGAATTAAAAATTTTCTTTAACTCTTAACGTGTTTGATATATGTTTTATGCTATGTAGATTTTCAAAATGTATATTTTTGGAATCGTCTTTTCTTTAATAAAAATAGTTTCTCGCAAATTGAACTGTAGAAACGCAAGTCAAGCAACAAAATCTTATTTTAAGTCCTTAGCGGATTTTTAATTTGAAATTTGATTGTAAAAAAATTCTTGATGTGCGTAATTACAAGACTACAATTACGTATTTCTAAAAATTCTCGTTAAGAAAAAGTCAACTCCAAATTATAATAAATTATTGGTCGTAAACCGTAGGAAGAAAATGCTATCTTTTTAAATAACGCGAAAATGTCCATTTCACATTTTAATTAATCTGTACTTTAAATTAAAAGAAAAACCAGAGTTAAAAGCGATGTCTATTAATTCGTAAATTGCAATCTTGGCGACATGCGTTCTTTTGTAAAACACAGTCACGCTTAATGCGGCAGACAAGAGAGGAGAATTTTAATTAGTCGATGTCAGTACAATTGGCTTGCGAGAGAGTCCGAGAGAATAATGGACTAGGAAATAAAAAAATCGGCCGATTGAAAAAGGTCACGATGATTTCCACAGACGACCAACGAGTTCGTTCATGCTGTGTCGATCGATTCGAGCAAAGATAACCACGCGAGTTGCCGTATCGGGACCACGTCCCCGACCCGGCGGCGATACGAGAGATACTTTTCGACGGTCGTTCCCCTCGAAAGAGAAATAAATCACCATCCTTCCCAAAAGCATTTCTTGTATACCGGTATTCGCTCAACGATTTTGTCGCTATGAGAACAAACCCGATTAAATGCTATAAACTTTCACATAATTGCAATAGTATCGCAGGTTTTTTAAAACAAATTTTCGATAATTCGCTATTTTATTTACTGCTCCATTATTTAATTTCGTTTAAAGTTAAGATAAATTCCCTAAATGTATAATTATCTTTCGCGAAGGTTACAATTTTTTATAAGCTTCTCATATGACTTTCTAAGTGCGTCCCTGCGATAATTCATTTTGAATTTAAATATAGTTATCAGTATGTGTAACGACGATTAGAATTTATTTGAGTTATGTGATAAGAAAAGAAATATTAAGATTATTTGTGCTTATTTGTATCTCTTCTGTGATAATCGCGTTCAGTTATGCGTAATCGCATTCTAGCTACTGTATAACGGTATTCTCCCTTCTGAGAAAAAGCATACACAAACAACTATATATAAAACAGTGTGCTACGATGTCGAGGGAATATCCGCAAGGGTCGATAATAATTATCAGATTTCAGATAGAGTGAAAGCTAAAGCTCCTGACACTCTTGACTTAAAGCCCCAACCAGCGGTGAAGAGACATTCCTTAATTACACTTCTTAGTAAAGTAAAATAACAAAATAACTATTTCAAATATAATTCTCTATATATATATATATATATATATAATAATTATATTATAATCTCGAGTATATAATCTTTTATCCCTCATATATCTAATACATAATAATCCTTTTAGATATTACAGAAGAAAAGATTATTATATCAATCATAATACGATAAACTCTGTTTTATTCCACCATCTTTCAAAATTCTTGTCAAAACTGACGTGAAAAGATTAATTTAACTTTCACTGTGTCGTCCACGTGCGTGAACTCAATATTACAATCCAGGAAGAGAAGGAAGAGCCCCTTAACCGCCATATAACACACGATGTGTCGTAAACTACTTAAGCAGCCAATCGACCTGCAGGCCGGCCACGCGCTTCGACAGAGGCAAATAAATTAGACAAAAAGAAGAGGAAGAAGAGAAACAAACATTCCCGGGGTGCGGAGCAGAACGCACGATGCAGCGTCGGCGCTTGGCGTCGGGACGCAGGCGCATCGCGATAGGCGACGGGGGAGACGCCGTCGTCGCGGGGGGCTCTCTCGGGTGCCACCTCGGGGGCCGGCAGTCAGTCGCGCTCGGGGTGGCTCGACCTCGCCGCTCGTTCGCTCCTAAAGATGAGTTCTCTCATGATGCGCGCTCTCGGCACGTGGCCGCATTTTATGTGTACGTGATTTTCGGCAATGCGTAACTTTCGGTATTCGATAAGATAGCCGATCGAAAGGGACGTGACGCCGAGGACAACGTGTGGTTCTAGGGTGATCCTTAAACCTGATGGAGTGCGGTCGGTCTGCCTTTCATCGCGGATTTCGATAGCTCGATAGTGAGCTCACGAAGCCAAAGAGAAAAAAAAGGGAAGAAAACACACTGTGCTCGCGTCGGTTCAACGACGCGCGTCGCGAAGAATGTCGACGAGTGAACGAAAGTGCTCCTCTTCGACGCTTCAAGGAACGCGTTAAGAGTGTGTTGTGTTCACGAGGGTATTTGCGTAAAGGAGACACATCTGATAAGCGTGAGAGAGTCAGAACGCAGCATCGGTAATCGTCCGTCGCCACCGCTGCGGCACACGCCGGCCGACGAACCGACGCTGAGCGTCGCCGCCGGCGTCCGTCGTCCACGGTAAGCGCGAAAGCTCCGAAAGCGAGAGGAGCTCGGATTAAAAGCGAAATGGGGTGGTCATCGATTTTGGGACATCGCAATTAAGGGTGCTACTATTAAACGGAGAATCGCGTTGAATCACTTTAAAAATAATATACGATTACTTGGACTGATAAAAAGTGTATTAATTTTCATTTAATTTTGTCTATGGATTTGCATATTTTTCGCTGGTATTTCAAAAATGTACTAGAATGAGTGACTTAAATGAGTGACTATCTCTATGGTCTCGTTTTTTAAACGCGGAATATAAGAATGCTTCATTCAACTTTGATAAAACATAAAAACGTGAGTGGAAAAGTAGGACATATGTGTTTTGCTGGTCACGAAAGGTTTGAAAAAAGAATTACACGCTAACCTTCTTTAGTTATCATGGTAGAATCTTATGTAATTACCATCAGGTAAATCAGATTTTGAGAAGCTCATTAATCTTCAACTATTGTAGTTAAGTTAGGATGACTATCTTAAAGTTGGAACTTAGAAATCTCATTAATCTTCGACATAGTAAAATTCGACTGACATAACTATCTCAAAGTCTGACTTTATTTGAGTGGTACACTAACAATAAATCTCAGTAATGTGTGTGTAATTTTAATAATAAGTTATATGTATAACATTACGTACGTTTTAATATTGAGAAGATTGAACTGACATCGCCTTCTGATTTCTCAAAATCGGACTTATAGCGCTTTCGAAAAGTAAACGTCTCAAATGTATTACGTATCAAAGTTCGAGCTTACGTCATCGCGAAGATAAACGGTCGCCTGACAGCAATTTGCAACAATAAGTACGAGATAAAGAGTTAAAGGTAAATTCGCCGGTCCGTAATTCACGTGTCACGCGGAACACGATTGTTCGCCGGTGTACGATAATTTGATTATATCGAAGCTATTGATTATTTTTGCGCACGCATAGGGCATAGAGAATTAGCATTTGCGTAACGTGTCGACAGCCCGTCTATTTTTCATTCTTTCTCTCTTTCATCAGACAGTACATTCGATATAATTCGGTACCCGGGCCACTTCGCTCGCGATCGCGTGGGTGTTTTGCAGGTCGGAGAACTCGTGATGTAATCGAAGGCTAAGACCAAGTCAATCGTAAACGACATAAATGTTCTCGACAAAATCGAACTGACTTATTTCTGCCGAGGTATTCCATAAATAATTCGGCGGAAAGAAAGTATACTTGAGTTACGTTTATCAAGAG